CTTGTATTTACGGCTAATTAATCTTTCAATGATAGGTAACGCACCCGTCGACAGCGAGGTGTTCGTGGTAGCTTTTTGTCAATATCAAAATATGCTAGCTCTTCGAAGGTGCTAGCTCTTCAAAGGTGTTTATAGAATTGGGTGTATATGTGTTTATAGAAGTGAATGTGTATGTTGTAATTAAGCGCATATGATGTTAAGTACAAGTATCATGATAACTAATGAACCGACTAAGCACTGAAGCTAGCCGAAGTTAGTATATGTATAAATTTATGAAAGGACAGCATCTATCGATTATTTGAGTCGATCTGAAGGCATTCGCACATCGACTTTATTTCTCTTCTTACACATGCATGCATGCTGTCATATGTACAGTGTACATTGTCTGATGGATCCGCACGTACTCTCTCATCTGCTTTGAATAATTATTAAATTATCGCCGATGATTCGAATATATTTGTACACGCACGATCGATCGTGTGGTTGCTACTAGCTTTTGATCTTTGTCGTCTTGTTCATGTTCTATTAGTATATGATCACAATCAAATGCCCTGGTCACCAAAGTATGCTGTTTCGAACATGTTTGAAGTCAAACTTTAAAAATTACTCTCTCCGTTTCATATATTATAACACTTCAAATTTATCATAAGTTATTTTTTTAAAAAAAATTAGCTGAGTTCATAGAAAAATGTAGGAACATTTTCAGCATCAAAATTAGTTTGATCATTAAATCCACCCTTAAGGTCTATTTGTTTTGTGTTGGAAACGGTGCTACATCTTTGTATGTACTGTACACTTGGACAAATTTGAATAAATTTGACCTAACTATAGATCCAAAAGCATCGCGTAATATGGAATAGAGCAAGACCAACACCAATTTTATTAAAACAATTATATCAGATTTATCAAAAATATATTTTTAGATTTGCCTTGAAACTTTACTTCCACAAACACTATTACTCTCTCCGTTTCATAATGTAAGTCATTCTAGCATTGCCCACATATATATAAATGTTAATGAATCTAGATATAAACACATGTCTCAATTTATTAACATCTATATGGATGTGGGCAATGCTAGAATGACTTACATTATGAAACAAAAGAAGTATTTTATTAGGAGATGCGTGCAGTGACAAGGATGGCGTGGTTTCAATCAATCCTATGTTCAATCCCTAACACACTCACAATTTCTGCTTAAAAAAATGTTTGGAGGGACGTCTTTCCCTCCAATTATTATTATTATTATTATTATTATTATTATTATTATTATTATTATTATTATTATTATTATTATTAAGTATCTTGCACTAAAATTATTGGTTAGTTTTATTTAATTTTGATGACCATGTCATATCTAAAATTAACAATATGTTTTTGATTGGATGGAGAATAATTTAATCTTCATGAATTGGTGCAGACACATGATTCATAGTATGCATTATGTCGACTGCATGGCATTTATTCTGGGGGTGAAAGCAAATCGATGCATGCATCTGTATGTACATGCATGTGCAATTCAAAAACCTGCAGGCGCAGGATAAATTCAAATAGAAAAGAAAACGTCTTCTAGTACCAAACATGAATCCACAAACTTCCAAACACATTAATCAATTCCACCAAATTACAGCTTGGATCCATGAACTTTCAAATTTGATCCCGCTATTTCCACCTGGCGTGGCCACAGCAGCTGGCAGAGACGTAATCAGCCTAATTATGCTTGCCGTTGACATTCCCAAGCATAGTTGGTATCTTGGTTCTCTCTTTTTCCTCGGTTAAATTAAAATATAGGTTGCAAATGTGCGAAAAGTCTCAAACTTTTCCTTTCTTTAAACTAACCTTTACTCTAGGACGCCCCTGTTTTGCGAGTGGAGTAGAACACGTCGTCATTGCCAAATGACACTCTCTCTTGGCCTATCTTTTCTTAAATAAGTTGGATTAATGTGATAACGATAAGAATGATAGTGTTTGAGCCGTCTTTTCATGAAGAGACGAAAAAAATAATCAATTAATTAATTAATTAGCATTGAAATGAATAAGTAGTACTATGTATCATTGTGTTCTTGGATTACTTCATAAGACGCTCGATCGTGAAAATAGTTTTAATAAAATTTCAACAAAATTATGTTCGAAACAACAAATATTTGTGATCGGAAGTACTTGTATATTCACCTTTAGAAAATAGAAATAGATATACCATGAACTCATTCATACAACAGCCGGATAGATATACATCACTACTCATCTAGACCGTTCCATGGACTACATACATACGTATGGTATATCTTTGCTATTTATATTCTATATATATATCCAGCCTATATATAGAGGAAAGAATTGAATGAGATAGATATTGGAGATGGCCTACAGCTACTACAAACGGTAGAAAATACATGAAGATAGAAACGGGTGAGCATTGAAGGGAGAGGGAAGGAATTATAAATGGCAGGCAATAAAGGCCTTCCAAATAGGCTCCCTTCATCCCTCTATAAAAGCACCCCTTCCCCTTGCAACCTTTCACCCATCAACAGCAACAAACAATAGTTCTTTTCTTTCTCTCTCTCCCTTTGTAGGTGTAGATGTTGATTTCATGGCTCTTCTGATCTTCGTGTTCTAGTCTCTCAGTATTATATGCATAGTTGAAGTTTTTTTTGGTTAACATAGTATTTCTGAAGCCTCTGATGTTTGCTTTTGCTATTGCAAATCTTCTAGTTTTGTTTATGCTATATACTATATGTTTCAGATCTCTCTTGGTTTGTGGTTTTGTTTCTTTGTTGGTTGTTTCTTGAATATGTGGTTGCGTTTTGGTTATGAAGTGGAGCTCCTTTCGTTCCAATGAAAGGTTTATCTGAAGGGTGATACAGCTGCTTGTTCATGGTTCCCACTATTCTATCTCATAGGAAAAGAGATAGGCTTGTGGTTTGCATGACCAAGGAGCCGAATCAACTCCTTGCTGACCACTCTTTGGATTGAAGGGAGCTCTGCATCTTGATCCCATATAGTAGTACATGTCACTACTGATTGCATGTCTTATATATTTGCCCCCTGTTCATGTTGGATTTGATTTTTTCCTGGTTCCCCATGTGTAGATCTAATGATTTTTGATAATGCTTGTACTTCAAACCAGTCATATATAGCACCTGCATATTCGATGGAGAGATGATCTGGTTTTGCAAGCTTCGTTGTTTTGGCGTTACTTCAGCCACTGTTGTTATTTTTAATTACATGTAAAGGTTTCTTATGTTTCAATCTGAAGTATGATCTCTTTAGCTAATCAAGAGATTCAGATTTATTTATTTTTTGGGTATCATTGCGTTGAATGGTGTACTTTGCATCGCTTTATTCCCTTGTTGGTGAGATGTTATGTCACTGTTGAATTATTCCATCACTGTTTGTCTTTGCACCAGCGTGTTGTCCATCTGTTGTAGGGACAAGCAGATGTTGTTAGATCTTGCTTTGCTCTTTGGACAGTTTGATCTATCTCTCCTGAACACTGCTTGTGTCCACTCTTTTTTTCCCTTTTGCTACACCTGGTTCTGATAGATTTGCATCAGATACCCTTATGCTTGGATCTACTAGCCGCTCTTAGTATTTTCATTGCTTCGTACACCGGTCATCACATGTTCGTCTGTTTATGTGTACTGTACTACTCACTGACAGTGTGCAGCTGTGGTTATTTGGCCTCACTGGCAACCGTGCATCATGCTATGCATGTTCTCTTTCTTTGGCCCAACATATGCTCTTCTTTGTTAATTGCTCTTTTTTTTGTAGCATTAACACGTCGAGATTGATTCTGATGCAAACATATTAGGTGTAGATCCGTCCTGGAGAATGGAGATTATATGATGTCTATTGTTTGGAAGAAGAGAAATATGGAAGACTGATGCAAACCTTTGCCGGCATGGAGTGGAGAACGTTGATCAAAGAAAGTTTTCTTTAGTTGATGATTGGGTTAAATCCCAAGTGTAACCATAAAACAATTCCTGCTTGCTAGTCCTGTCATTCTGTATATCTGAATGATGTTTCACAATACTCAAATGCCAAGTTTTAAGATATTTTTTTGTACTTGTGGATTGTACTTATAAATCAATGGATAATTAATCATTTCTACCGAGAAGGGTGCTCTTTTTCCTTCTATATGGTTAATTCCGAAGTGTAACACAAACCATTCCTGCTTGTTATTTAGTCCGGCAATCTGTAACACTGAAATTTCTACACATAGTCCCCTTTTTGCTCTTCACCCAGATTGTTTATTTGAAAAATTTAGACAGCAACTGGCGGTTCGTACCCTATATCAGTCCATTCAATGTTATATATCTTGCAGATTACCCTAAACCGCCGAATTAAAAGTAGCAAACAATGATACTTCCCGACATCTACCAAAAATTATCTAGGTTTTTCGAGTTACAGATCGATATGAGTGTCAGATAAGATCAAATCCATTTAATTTACTAGTACCTTGCATTTGCTGCGCCGCCGAGCTTGCTATCTTCGTGGCCGGCCGGCGGCGTGGTCGACGGCGATCGACGAGGAAGACGAACCCATGGCCAACTCATGTGTGATGATCCGATTCGTTTGTGGGTCGTCTGGTTCGTTCATCTTTGTTTTTATGGGCCTCCATTTGCTAGCCGGCCCAAACAGCGATACTCTCCGGTTTTCAGCTGCTTTTTCACATTTTTTTTAGCACACTGTATCTTCATTGTAGAGACTTTATTTCTGATTGATCTCATGCCCAACAAGAGCCAAAACATGCGTGACCACTAGGTCCATTTGCTAGCTCGCTTTTTTTTTAATAATAGAAATGGTTTACATCTCTGATTTTCGCTGAAGGCGTACAGGACAAGTTCTCAACTTCTCTCAGAATTATAAGTTTTTTTTGCGAGGACCAGAATTATAAGTTAAGATTACGCTATCAAAAGAATTGCTAGCTATTGTGCTTGAACAATATTAACTTTGTCGCCCAAAAAATAATTATACCTATACACCTGGACAAATAGTACTTGTCAAAATGCATTGTCAGAATCACATTTTTGTATGGAGATAACAATTGGTAGGAGTAATTCATAATTGCTCATATACAAAGGAATATTCATGTAGACGAAATGTTAATTTGACAATCTATATTTCTTTTCCTGTAATTGAAACGATAATCAAATCAAACATTACATATACTAGTTTTTTTAGATAAAATTAAATTAGTATAAACTAGAAAGAACACAAGTGTGATCATCCATGGTTAGCTTGGAAGCTAAGCTTCTAGTGTTGGAGGTTGGAGAGGAGAGACTGGGAGGCATGGAGGAGGCCGGAGACGAGGACGAAGGCGGTGGTCGGAACGCTCACCGCCACCGCTGCCACGATCCCGACGCCGACGCCGGGGCGGGAGCTCATGAGGAAGGCCTGCACGGCGCCCACCAGCGCGCACACGTCGGCGTCGTAGCTCCCGTACCACTCCTTCTCCCACGCCGCCCACTCCGCCGGCGGCTCCCACCCGCTCTCCGCCGCCCTCATCTCGTGGATCCTCCGCCGCAGCTCGATCATCCCCTCGTCCACCACCCCGCCGCCGCCGCCGCCCGAGAAGAACTGATCCGCGTCGTCGCGCCGCCGCGACCTCACCGCCGCCGGCTTCCTCAATGTCACTGACGTCGTCGTCTTCTGTGGTGGTCGCCGGTATGGGAGCGCCGGTCCAGCCAGGCGAACGGCGGCGGCGGGGAATTGGGAGATCGCCGGTTGCATTTTTGGATTCCGATAAGAAGAATTGTGCAGCTAGCGAATGCTGTGATTTGATTCAGCTAACGAAATTCGCGATTCGATTAAGGAGAGAATCAGAATCGCGAATTTGAAATGGATTTTAGAGGAGGATGGAGAGTGGAGAATTGGTGGAATGCGATTTGATTGATTTGGAGCTTGGGCTGGTTGCTTGGGTTTATATATATAGTGCGTCGTTGTTGGCAAAAAAAATTTAAAAAAAATAAAAAAACGCGTGGCAAGAACGTTCCAATGGCTGATTCCGTGTGATTACCTATCATTTTTTTTCTGCAAAAGTTCAGACATTGTGGCATCCAGGATAGTTTTGGTCAAGATAACATTAGTTGTCTTAACAGAAAGGAGAGCTGTTCTAGAAATGAGTTAAATTTAACTACAAGCTCCATCATATCATGTCCTAAAAATTATTATAATTCTTCTGTTCTTAATTGTTTCCTCCCTCGACCCCTTTCTTTCGGCCTATTCAACATTTAGAATGTCGACATGGACTCTTAGAGACATTAGGCTGTGTTAGCTGGAATGGGTTGGGAACACTAATTAAAACTTAAATCTCCTGCATACGAAAAATGGAGTGGTCCATTAGCACATAACTAATTAGGTATTAGCTATTTTTTTTTAAAAATAGATCAATATGATTTTTTAAGCAACTTCCATATATAATTGTTTTTAAGAAAACACACTGTTCAGCAGTTTGGGAAGCGTGCGCATGAAAAACGAGGCGGAAGGAGTTGGGAATTACGAACAGAGCCTAAATGTGTGTTCTTTTATCCCTTTTTATAACTTGTACCTCTTATTTTTCGCGCGTACGCTTTTCAAATTTCTAAACAACGTATTTTTTATTAAAAAAAAGGTTTTACAGGAAAGTGCTTTCAAGCATAGGAATTTGAAACACGTCGACGTGGCTATGTTCGTTTCAAGCTGTTAAATGATATTCCCTCTGGGCTGATAATACTTATCGTTTTAGATAAGAGTGAAGTCAAACTTTAGAATATTTGATTATAAATTATTTTTAAAATATTTGTCTTTCAATATGGTTACTATATGTATAGATTAGTCTTAAAAGGTACTTTAATAAAATCATATATTTATTAACACTTTTGTACATATTATAATAAAAAATAATGGTTAAAGTAGTTTTTTTTGGAAACCGTGCCCTTATCGAAACGACAAGTATTATCAACCCGGAGGAAGTACGCTTTTGGTAAAAATAATCTCTAAAAAAGTTGCTGTAAACAATTCATTTCCCCTCGTCTCAAACGCACCCAAGAGACTAAGAGTCCTTTGAAACACACGAATTTGAAAGCACAAAAATATAAAGAACACGGGTCACATGCCTTATAAATTCCTACATAAATTAGAAGCACAACTGCACAAGAGTATTTCAAAACAGTCGTTTGGATTACACACGCAAAAAAAAAAAGAAATTGTAGACATGTACAGGAAGAGAAAACCATGAGTTGGACTTTCTCATGTTTGTTTTAGTCTAAAATTGTAATGGAATGCTTTATTCCTTAGGATGTTCATAGAAAACTTTTAAGGACATGCTCTTTATTCCAGATAACTTCATATGAATTTTATTTCCAGGATTCAAATGCTTCAGGAAAAACTAAACAGTTCTTTTCTTCCAAATGAGCCTAAAACATGTTTAATCATTATTTTATATTGCGGATTAACGTAGGCGGATATAGGAAATTAAGTGCGACACGGTTGGATTTGGACGATAGATCGATGTGACGCCGGTCGGCCGATATATATACGCGTTGAGAGATCGAGTGGATCGAAATTCGTTGGAAATTGCTGTACCATATCATGCTGTTGCTTGCTTGTACTGATCCTATCATGCATCATTGTGTGAATATCCTAGCCAGTGCTGTTCATCAATAGTGGGTCAAGTTGTAATTAAGCAAGCGGCCGGCGATTGGCTCCACACGAAACGCGTTTCCTTAACTCCCTGGTCTTCTGCTCCCTGCAGCATGCAGCTAGCTATCTTCGCTTTGCTTGCACTACTTTTCTTCCAGCATATATGCACAAATTATAGATTATACTCCCTCCGTACTTAAATGTTTGACACTATTGACTTTTTTAAATATATTTGATCATTCGTCTTATTCAAAAACTTTTGCGAAATATGTAAAACTATATGTATACATAAAAGTATATTCAACAATAAATCAAATGATAGGAAAAGAATTAATAATTACTTAAATTTTTTAAATAAGACGAACGATCAAACATGTTTAAAAAAGTCAATGGCGTCAAACATTTAGAGACGGAGGGAGTACTAGCATAAGCAAGAAGCAGCCTAGCATAACTGCATTATGACCATTTATTTTGTGCTGGAAGGACTGAATAACTAAATGATTTATGGTATTTTCTTCGTCTTATAATAAATTTATTTTTGCTTCTCCTATTTATCTTAAAATAAGTTTATTTTTAGTAATCATTGTATTAGGGTTTATGAAAATATGAAATAATTACATCAAAAATAGGTAAGTGAGGAATAATTGTACTCGGATTTGATAAAGTAAGGGTATTCTAGTCCTTTTAATTTTATATCGGTATGTGTGGGATGAGTAAAAAAATAAACTTATTTTTTGGAAAGAGAAAGTACTTCATAATATTTTAGCTACTCCTTTTGTACATCCACCCAAAATCCTTTATATTATGGGACCGATAGAGTACTAATGAATAAATTAACTTATTATAAAGTTAAAAAATATACATATTTAAAACAAAATTTTAAAGAAGTTTATATGTGGAAAGTTTAGTTTAAAAAAATTCCCACCATTTAGAAATTCTGAAAATGTGCACATTTATATATATATTTGTCCATGAAGCAGAAAAGAGCAGCAGAGTATGTGACGACCAGATCATCAAGCTAACCCATGCGCACTTGCTACTCCCTCCGTTTCACGATGTAAGTCATTCTAGCATTTCTCACATTAATATTGATGTTAATGAATCTTAATGTTAATGTAGGAAATGCTAAAATGACTTACGTTGTGAAACGGGGGAAGTATATAGCTAATCAGCCGGTGTCGCCGTTCGTCGGAGCTGAGTTACCTATTCATAATAAGAATTTTTGCTTGCTCATAATTAAACGACGGTGATCGTTTACTACGTACGTAAATGTCGTTCGCACGCATGTGCAAGACGCGTAAAAGCGTATGCAACGCGCATTTCGTCAATTAATTAATTCTTGTATGCACTTAATTTCTCACCAAATGTTAGTACTGGCTTAGTCGTAGTGTATCATGTAAGTAGCAGGGAAACGGGGGAACAGCAAATTAATTAATTGGTTGGACGACAGCTTAATCCCTCGTCTGAAACAAAACAAATTAAGCGAAAGAAAACGAAAGCTTCTCATCATTTCGTGATTGATTGATCGAAAATCGTTGTAAAAATGATCTTTTTCCAAAAAAAGAAAGTTGTAAAATTCTTCTAGCTAAGAGGAATTTTCTTTTTGCAAGGAGATAAAAGGATTTTGGAAGATATATTTCTTCTGGCACAATATATAATAATAATAATAATATTGGCATTAGCTAGCTCTGTCATCTTTTCATTCTTTTTACTGGAGTTGTGGATGTCGCCGTCATCGATCCAAGATGCATTGAACGAAACGTTGCTCCAGTCCTCAACACAGCAAGATATCTCTTCAATGTTGGCAGCTAGCCAATGTCGTTTTTTCAAGGGCTTTAATTTTCTCCTGGATATAATTGATTAGATCGATCGGCTAGCTAGGCTAGCTAGCTAATTAATATGCAGGTGGATCCTACTATTTGTGTTTTGTTTGTTTAATTAATCATACAACAAGATATGTTTCATGTGACATACTGCCTGACGCACAAATGGTTGTATAATTTCCATGCCGGTTTATTAGTTTTAGCTTTGACCATACTGCGTTATATAAATATAATCCTAGTATTTGTTGGGCAAGGTCCATTGAAATTAATCAGCAGCAAGGTCATCTCTGAAGATCAAGCTCCTGATTATTTGCTGGTTCCTTCAGAGACGAATATATATACGTATTATAATTCCATATCGATTATTGGATATAATTTCCTGAAGATTCCTTTGAGTGAGGTCAAATTGCACATTTTATTTAGCACATTTGTTTGACTTTCTACATTATTTTTTCTGACACCATCTCTCCTTCCATAATCAATTATCAATATTATTGTACATTTTCCCACATAGTGAGTGTCTGATCTACTTCATGCGTTGGCACTTGTGATATTTGAATAGTACTTCATATAGGAGGACATTTCCCTCTCATGGCTCTTGTATTACAAATCTCCTTTGTTTACTGAAGGCCGCGTTCTTCAATGGCTTAAATAGAGGAAAACTTTTTCGTTTTTCGTACGCACTTTTTTGGAACTACTAAAAACATGTTTTTAAAAAATACTTCCTTCACAATGTAAGTCATTCTAGAATTTCCCACATTCATATTGATATTAATGGATCTAGGTAGATATATATTTCTAGATTCATTAACATCAATATGAATGTGGGAAATACTAGAATGACTTATATTGTGAAATGGAGGGAGTATATATATTAAAAAGTTGCTTTAAGAAATCATATAATTCGTCATTTGGAATATATTTATCTCCACTTATGTTTTATCAGTGTTCAAGCTAGATTCTGGGCCTGTTTGGCACAGCTCCAGCTCCAACTCCACCTCTCCTGGAGCTGGAGCCTAGCCAAACAATTAATTTCAGTTCCACTGGAAATGGGAGCGGAGTTGGGTGGAGCACTCTCACAGAATGAACTAGAGAGGTGGAGCTGGGTTTAGAATGCTTCACAACTCCACTCTAGACCCAACTCCTGGAGCATAATTTAGGAGTTGGAGCTCTACCAAGCAGACTCTCCATCTCGGACAACTGTATCCACTGGACGCATCGGATATAGACATATTTTGATATTTAACTTTAATCGAAACCGTCATTTAGTGTACAAAGAAAGTAATAAGAACAAACACCCTTGAAGATAAATCACCGACAAAATCAGGATTGATGGTACCTTAATATTTCCTGTAATTTTTTTCACCTTGGTTTGTGAGTGTATGTATTTAGCCGTGTATATTTTAGTTATATAGAGGCTGAGATTGTTCTATAGACATATATATCATCCCGATATAATTGATTGAGTTTAATAAAACTTTCATTATCTTATAAAATCACCAACAAATTAAATTTAAGATCAACTACACAAGATCAGCTGTGTATAGCATATCATTCTATCTACATTTAACACTGCGATAATAATGCAGGGTTAATTCCTTTCTAACACACTCTTGTTTACAAGTTGGAAATCAGTTTCAGGCAACATTTTAGCTGCAAGGTAGAGATGATGATCCGGTCAAGGAACGACGTGGTGCTGCAGGAGCACGGCGGACTCCGCCGCCAGCTGCGCCAGGTGGTGCACGGCGGCGACGGCGGAGACCGGCACGCCGGCGAACAGCAGCGCGGCGGCGGCGATGGCGACGCTGGGGCGGGTGCCCATGAGCAGCAGCTGCAGCGCGCCGACGGCGGCGGACACGTCGGAGACGTACGCCGGGTAGTACCGCTTCTCCCACGCCGACCACCCCGCCGGCGCCTCGTAGTTGTTCTCCGCCATCCTCGCCTCCCTCATCCTCCGCCGGAGCACCGCCATGCTCGAGTCCACCAGCGCCCCGCCGCTGTACTGGTCTCGCCGGAAGGCGCAGCACGCCGCCGGCGACGACCTCCTCGCCTTCAACGCCGGCCCGCGCCGGCCGAGCTCGGCCGGCGACGTAAGCAATGACATCGACGACGACATGGCCATCCAAAAACCAAAAAAATTGTTGGCAAATCGCAGTAGTGAGGTAGCAAGTGATCAAGAGAAGAAGCAATGGAACAAATGAACAATCTCTGAGCTGATGAGAAATCTAGTTCAAATGGGTACATATATATATAGGAGTAAGCAAACGCGTGAAGATTAAAACTGATTTAGTCATCGTCTGGACCAACCACGTGGAGACACGTGTGCCCAACCAGGAAGTACTAGTCCACATGGCACATTTTGGCCGGTGATTTATTCAGGGAAGGAATCATGGAACAATAAATAGTTTAGAAGTAATCACATCGAATGCAGCGACTCGTCGCTTCCAACCAACACCGGCCATCTCCCATTATTGAGTTGAATACTATTACTACGAGTACTTGCTTGACAAAAAAGAAAAGAGGAAATTAATCATTCAGTTGAGTTGATGTACTGCTTCAAAGTGATGGGCTTGGGCGGCTAATTGTTTTATTGCCGCATGATTTAGTGATCCTCTCATTCTCATGCCGAGATGCTGTGAAGAAGGTGCAGCTTCTCTCTGATAAGAAAAAAAAAAAGAAAACAGTTAGCAATTGGCAAAGAGGAGAAATTATAGTACTATCATACTATTGGCTAAGTTGTTTATCACATAGCCTGAATGCTAGTGCAGATCCCTAGCTGCCATCAGTTGGCACATGGTCAAGGAGATATTAGTATATGGCATCATCAGCAAAGCTACTCAAATGGGCTCAAGGGTTCAAGACTTGAAGCAATTGCAGAATTGAGTGCCTAGAGGTCACAAGAAACACAAGATGCATGGATCTTGAAGTTTACAACATGGGTCATGATTCCTGATTTATGCTACTGTCAACTAAACTACTTCCCAAACACCATATCTGTAGCAATTAGATCTTATAAAGGCTTCAGAGTTCTCGGCTTCTAGCAATGTTAATCTAAGTGGGTACAACAACTTGATGACAATGCATTTCTGGGCAACTAAAAACGATGTGCTTGATAACAAGACAGTCATTCTGGGAATGGGGATAAGTCTTCTATAGATGCAAGACTATAGAATGAAGGAATGCTTGCTACCCCCAAAATTATTTAGGCCATAATTTCCCATTCAGATGCTACAAAAAGAATATTAACTACAAAAAGGGCCATACAACTAATGCTCAATATGATACAACAGTTACGTTTTCTAATTGCAGTACATCCTGACAAAAAATATTTCAGGAGATTAGGACCATTGTGTGAAACGTGGTTAATGCTAATGTCTCTTTTACCTTTGCTGGCAAAATGTTGCTGGCAGCACTTCATTTCACTTCCTTAACTTGCTGCTTATTTTGATCTTCCTCAGATGGTGGTAGAAGCTGCTGATACTTTGGCCTGTTTTTCTTCAGAAGAAGGTAGGTTAACCAGTACCAGAACATCAGAATTCTACCCTGTGCCACAAGCGTGTCTGCAATGCGGATTCCTCCTAATGAAAACCTCTCCAGGGCCTGCCATAGAAGTAATGTGTCAAAAGCAGATCACTTCCCCTCCATAGAAGAAAGATATGCCAAAGGTTCACCTTTTTACCCAGGCCCCAGTTACAATTCAAGGAAAATTTTCAATTCAGATTTTTAATTGAATGTGATGATAACACATGAATAGTGTCTGGGCCAATTTTCTGTTTGAGTGCATTATCATTCAAACATTAACTTAGGTCGAGCAATATCTCACTGGCACTTAACCAAGTGTGTGTCTGCATTTTTGTAACAGTAAAAATGTAAAACTGCCTTTTGCAGGTCCACATGAACAACCGTACCTGTTCACCAGTTTGAATGTCATAGGAATGCTGTTGCTCAAATTGCAAACCTTTGAACTCATTAATGCAAAGCCCTTGGAAGGCCCTGAAATCAATGGCAAACAAAGTTGAAATATAGGGTCATTAACTATCCCACGGTCCCACCTAGCTTAGGAGCCAAAATATGATATAAGGAAGAGGGTTACCATCTAATTAGGGATACTTTTGGGATCCAGCGAAAAATGACGGGGGTATTATCAGGGTTAACATAGTATCCTCCAAATACAATGAAAACTGTCATAAGGGATGGTCCAAGGGCCATGGCGGCTTCTGTTGTAGGAGCCATAGCTCCAACAGTAAGGCCCATGGCTGATGCAGCAAATGATTCAACAGTCACGATGCCACAGAACTTGGCAAATCTGAAAGTGTAGCATGGAATGTTGTTTGATGGAGCATAAACAAAATAGTATCGAACTATCGATATTCTACTATTTCTGCGTGGCATGTAATAAAGTGCCTCAGATTCATTTCTAAATTAGAGGGAGGATAATACTTACCTAGAAAATGTAGGATGAAGTTTAGACATTGGATAAAGAATGGATCCAAATATCAATGGGAATGCAGCCCCAATAGGAATTTCAGCCAACAACTTAGAAGAAAGGTATGGTCCTAGTGCATAGGAACCTTTGGCCCGTTCTCTGTCAACTATAGCCCGCTCTTTCGGGAAAACTCCTACTGTCTTTGTCAGTGCAGCCATTGCTGTGTTTATAGCAGTTACCTTAACTCATAAATTGAAAAAGGGACAGATCAAAATCAGAAAAATGCTCAGACACAATGAAAAAGCTTGTACCAAAGTCAATATTAGGAAGAGAATGAATGTAAGTCCAAAATCTGAAGCATGTGCAACCTAGCAAATTCAACTCAACGAGTCATAAAAAATCCAACATATTCTACCTGAAGAAGTCCCATCCTGTCTTGTATGGAAGTCTGAGTTTTCCCCATTCGCCAGAACACAGATCCAAATATGATTGCTGAAGCAACGGACATTCTTGCTCTCACTTTGTTTGTTGGTCCATCACGGAAAGCCTAAAACACAGAAGGTCCTATTCCAATATCAGACACAACAGCGTGGCAGTAAATCTTTAGCTAAACCCCATCTAAGCAACTGCGCTCAGATTATTAATGGGTACCCAGGCAAACTATAAAAGGCTTGAACATTAGTCAGATAACCTCAACCACAATCCAAATCCTTATAGTTCCATTAGCAAAGTGTTTCCTTTTTGTTTACAATCAACCACAATCCAAATCCTCATAGTTCCATTAGCAAAGTGTTTCTTTTTTGTTTACAAGTATGTTTCATGGGCAGTTGCGTATTACACCTTTTTGAGGCACAGATTTGGCAAAAACTAAATCATGGATCCAAACTCAAATATAGTAACATGTTCGATCTAAACCTCCTAAATTCATTACATTATGTATATAGTTTACTCAGGCTAAAAGAATATGTAAGAAAAACGATTTTTTTGAAAGGAAGCCTCACGAGTATCTGATAACTTCCACAGCAAATAATAAATAAACATATCAACTTGATTTAAAGAAGCAGCGGGAAGCAGATTAAAAGAGGAAGCTGCAACTGAGAATTAAATGAATTTTAATAAAACCTGCATCCATGCTCTCTTAAACAGCAAACGGAATTGTCTCCACCACCCACGTCTATGCTTGGTGGTGGACTTCTGAATAAGTTTGGGAGAAAATTCAGAGCCTTCTGGATTTGTCAGCGAACTGTTGCTTTCAGTAATTGCAACTTTATTAGAAAATTCTTCAATGAGGTTTTCAATCCTTTTCCGTGATGACTGCACACTTTCAGCAGAACTATAATCAACAGAAATGAGATCAGCCAAGAACTCAGCAGGGTTCACATGATCTGGACAATGATACCTGAAAAATATGAAGTAATCAAACTCAAGTTATTGATAAGCAATAATAGCAGGCAGAAAAACAAGCAGCATAGCATATTGACAGTATACATAGAATATAGAAACCAACACATCTGATAATAGATAAAAGAACTTATAAAAGCAAGATAATCTCCATTATGGTGTGAACAAGTACACAAGCCAGAATCTGCATGCCTAATTAAAATTCTGAGTAAAATTCTAGCATACCGTACACTGGAATTTTGGATAGTGCCACTAACAAGGACAAATATGACCACTATCATGTTATGCACCAAGGTAGTAGAGTATTACAGTCTAAATAAAATCAGTACAATGCACACATCGAAAACAACAGGAAATGCCAAGTAAAGGAAAAGGTGAGCGAATACCAACCCCAATGATGCAAAGTACAATAACGGTTCCTCTTTTGCTGGCCCCATGTATATAACTTCTCCCTCTGACAGTAGTACAATATCATCAAATTTGCCATAAACTGAACCTCTTGGCTGATGTATAGAACATATCACCGTGTGTCCATCTTCTGCAAGCTGTCTAAGAGTTTCCATGACCTTCTCTGCCTGGAACGCATCAAGACCTAAAAGGATGGCACATATGTGAACAAAGTTTATGCAATCTCACTTATGTTTTGCACTTTTGTCACATCAAAGGACCAATGAATGCGCTATCTCTAATCATGGAAGCTCAACACTTCAGATAAAGTAAATGTGCAACACTTTGTCCAGAAGGGATGTAGCTTGTATATCATATCAAGAATATATTTTGTTTGCAGCATTCAATGACAAATCTAATAAGGCAAGTCCCAATACCATGGTGCTTGATTAAAGATGCCACCAAGATTATGATATGTCATGTGTTAACCATTAGAGTAGCAGTCTTAGTACAAGAAACATGCATCATCTTAAAGCAATTCTTGTGGCATGAGAAAAATGTGGTGTATCTATTGAAGCCATTTTAATGCAACTATCGCAGTATTGGCAATCTATTTTCACTTGAATCCGGCATGGCTACAAATTTTCTTTTTCTTTGCCCTTAGGGGCTGTATTTTTCTCCTGCTATATTTAATGAAAAAGCACATTCTCGTGCTGGTTCCAATAAAAAAAAGAAGCATGGCACAAATTTACAAAGAAACAGTAGATTTGAAGAAGTGATCAGAACATTTGCTTGCAACTAGTCATGTATTTCCTAACGAAAACATTAAGAGGAGATGAGAATGCTTATTCAACCAAGGAAGGGTTAAATAAACACTACAGTCAGGTAAAAGTACCAGTAGTTGGTTCGTCTGCAAAGATGATAGAAGGGCTAGCAATCAGTTCACACGCAAGGGAGAGACGCTTCTTTTCACCCCCACTTATTCCACGTACTTTTGCATCACCCACAATTGAGTCAGCACAGTTAACCTACAACCAGTTATAATAAAAAGAAATAAATACCTGGTGATACAAAATAAAAAGGGAAATACTTGAACAGACAGCGATAGATATTATGTAGGTTCTGCCCATCAATTGAAAAACTTAGCATACTTGTCATCTATCTGAGCACCAAAATAACAATGCTTTTCATGTGTAATTTGACAGATTTTCTCCACCAGTGCTAGAAACTACAAGTTCGTATCCAACATTTGATGTAGTGCACTAAAACCAATTGGTTCAATTTCTTCGAACATTTTAACCATCATGGATAACTTTTTCTTTAGAAAGCAGACCATATACCATCATGGATAACTTACCAGCCCAAGACGAAACAAAAGGTCATTAACATAGCTTTCCTTCCTCTCAGGAGTCAACGTGCGGCGAAGCTGAAGTTCAGCAGCAAGCGAGAGCGTTTCACGAACAGTAAGCTGTGAGAAGAAAAGGTCCTCTTGCCTCACGTAAGCAATCCTACACAAGGAAAAGCAATGAGTATAGCTCTTCTCTGTAAACCTGACTAAAAAATTGTGAAAGCCAACTGAAGAAGCATAGCTTAAGCTTACTTATAGCCACCTTCTGAGATAGGTCGGCCATTGATGTACAGAAACCCAGAAAGGTGCAAAGAAGGTGATGCTGTGAGCTGACCAGCAAGCACATTGAGCAGAGTCGTTTTACCGGACCCTGATGGCCCCATGAGCGCAAGCAGCCTCCCCGATTTCGCCTCCCCAGACGCATTTGACAGCAAAAACCTCGCCTGGCATGCAGCACGTTATAACCATTACAACAATCACCCAGAGACGCGCAGAAGCAAGAAATTCCGATTATTGATGGCACTCAATGTACAATTCTACATACAGAATACACAGCTTCGGTGTGTTCATCTACTGATTGAAGCTGCAGAGTGCAGACGGTGAAAGTGTGAAACAAATTTCGCAAATTACTTGTTCGACGCAAATTAATATACAATTCTACATACAGACTGCAGAATGCCACGCAATTACTTAGCCCGTTAGCCAACAGCGGAAGTGCGAAACAAATTTCAGCAACCTGTTCATCTAAAATGTGATGAGTCAGTGCCACATCGACAGGTAGGGCCCAGTGTCAGTCTCTCAGACAGCACGCGGCTCTCCTGGCTAATCCTAAGCAGATGATTTTTTTTTTCTTTCCGTGCGCGCAGCGCCGCCGACCAATGCGACTCCTCCGGCGAGAGGGAACGGAATGGATGATTCGAGGCAGAGCGACTCACCACGTCGCCGCGCTTGTTCTTGAGGGCGCAGGTGATGCGGGCCCACCTTATCGTCACCGGAGGCACGCCGCCTCCTTCCCCGCCGGCCTCCGGGTCGGCGTCGGAGTCCTCGTCGTCGGCCGGAGGGAGGAGCGCCGGGCCCGGGCCGGCGACGGCGCGGACGAACAGCGCCGCGGCGAGCGCGGCCAGGAGCTGGCCCAGACCCCTGACCTCCATCTCGCGCGCGCGCGGGGGACGAGCGGAGAGAGGCCTGACGACTGTTCTAGAAGCTTCTGGAAGGTTCACGTCGCGTGCGACGAGGAGTGAAGAGGAGGAAGACGAGGGGGGGGGGGGGGTTTAGCGTGGAGTTCGTGTGGTGGTGGTTGCTTTGTTTGTTGCGCGACCGATGCGAATGGGCCTTGGGCCTTCTTCGTCATGGGCCTTTTGCGTAGTAGGCTGATGGGCCCACCTGTAAGTAACACCCAATTGTGCTGGGCCTTCTGTTGCAGTGGGCTATAGCCTACAGGCCCATGGCTACACCTTTTACGTACCTTACTCCGCAGAGGCGCGGAGTATTAGCTGAGGGCTTATTTGTAAATAATAATAGTAATAATCACCCAAAACAAATCTTGGAGCGGATTGGAACTGCAAATTTGGTCCATTTTTTTCCTCCAATTCAAAAACTCCGTCACGAATTCATAAATGCTGACGGAATCTTGATGTAGCTGCACTCATGCTGAACGTATGTGTAAACTGACGACAAGTGAGTGCACGCAGCAATTGATGCCGTACGCACATCACATGTGCATCTCAGCAGACTCAGCATCTGTCTCAAGGAAAACTAGCTGAACTAACAAACTGAAGACTCAAGCTGCAACAGCATATGCAGCTAGTTACTTACTTGGATGGCTGGATTTATTACTGATTTACATCGCTGAAAATTCATTCTGGCCGATCCAATTTTGACCTTTTCATGAATGGAGTGTATTATCTTGGTCCCAAAATACTCTCTCTGTTCTTTTACAGTATATGACGACCAATGTCATATATTAAAGGATGGAGATAGTATAACAACTTTTGCTATATAGCAAAAAAAAAAAGAGTTGTATTTTTTGAACGGTTAGTAAAAAATTAAAATGCTACTAGCTGCACAGAAAACTCCAAACTGTTTGCTACAGCGAGGTTAAAAACGACTCTCAAGTGAGAATCAGCCAGGTTGTGCCACCTGACATCCAACTCAGGAGCTTCAGAGATGCTGCTGATTTCAGATACACATCTGCTGAAAATGAGAGTGACCCGTGACTAGTGCCTAAACTCAAAGTGCTACTGTAGTACAGACAGCTCACGGCTGTTAGCAATCTTCCCATTTTTGGATCGTCCGAGTTATTAGCAGAATTGATTGCAATTCTTATAACGTGATTTAAGGAGAGGACCGACGAGATTTCTGACATTTTGGCTTTCAGACAGTGGAAGCTTAATTGCAGTTCGTCCTGGTCTTCTTGGCTGGAGTAACTACTATACTTCAGCTTGGTAGTGGTAAGCTAGCTTCAGTAACAATTTGTTTGGGTGATCAAATTTGTTTACTCCAAGTTGGTTAATTAGGGACCAGGGAGGGTGACCACCATGGAGATCAAATTGAGATACTACAAGTAAACAATACCCATCGAGACCATGATAGATAGGCTTTCCAAACTTCCTAGCCAGCCAAGCATAATCTGAACTTTTTAGTATCTGTGGAGGCAGAGCCAATCTGTGGGTGCCACGTCACTTTTCACACAGAGGCAGTACAAAGTACTACAAAGCAGAGCTGGTAGATTGTAGTACGTGGTAGATACTTACTTACTCCTAAGTCACGAAATAGTTTAACTTAATCAACAAGAGAAAACGACTAATGAGAAGTAAAGTCCGGATTTCGTCCTTTATCTTGAAAAAAACGAAAACTAATGACAGCGAGCGAAATCGCCTTTCTCCTCACCAAGCTGACCACTCTCTGGAAGCATCAGCGCCACTGCCAGGTGGGACCCACGACGACACCCTGCCACGTGAGCAAGGGCCCCATGCGAGGCAAGCGCCGTTGGCCCCGTCCGACAACGCACCTTCCGCCCCCGTTACTCTGAGCCGAGGGACCCACACGTCGACTCACCCCATACCCCGTACACCCAGCCAGAAAGAGCCCACTGACCGGTGGGCCAGGAGGAGAGTGTGCCCCACATGTCAGTGATGGTAGAACAGAAGGGTCTAGGCGGGCGCGGGGTACGACGTGTTCCGGGTGTAGAAAGCGACAGCGCCCCTCACAACGCTCGCCTCCCTCCTCCTCCGTCTCCTCCTTTCATCTCTTCTTCTGTGTGTGCGTGTCTGCGAAGCGTGAGAGAGAAACGTACGCGACGCGACGAGCTCCTACTCCGATCTCCCCGATGCGATCTCGCCAAACCCTAATCCCACCCACCACCGCGCCGGAGTCCTAGCGCCGCCCGCAGCCGCCGCCGCCGTCCGGATGCTGCGGCCGTGACCTCCTCCTCCTCCGCCTCTGACATCCCAGCCATGGGAGCCGCCGACAAGTGGCTCCTCCCGCTCGTGTCGGTCTCCTTCGTCTCGCTGCTGCTCTTCCTCTCCGCGCTCTCGGGCTTCTCCGCCTCCTCCTCGCTCTTCGCGCGCCTCCCGCCGCCCTCCTACGTCCGCCGCGGGGCAGCCGCGCCGCCGTCCTTCGCGTACGTGCTGTCGGGGGGGAGAGGGGAGGGGAGGAAGCTGCTGCGGCTGCTGCTCGCGGTCTACCATCCCAGGAACCGCTACCTGCTCCACCTCTCGGCCGATGCGCCCGAGTCCGAGCGCGTCGAGCTGGCCGCCGCCGTGTCGCGCGCCGCGCCCGCCGTGCGCGCCTTCGGGAATGTCGATGTCGTTGGCCGCCCCACCGCTGGCACACCGATGGGATCCTCGGGACTCGCGGCTACGCTCCGCGCCGCGGCCGCGCTGCTGCGCCTGGATTCCGAGTGGGACTGGTTCGTCACGCTCAACGCCGCCGACTACCCCCTTGTCACCCAGGACGGTAAGGTTCACAATTCGTGCCTCCGATTAGCATGATTTGCTTCGGAACATGCTGGTTTCTGCACGGCCTTGCCCGGATCTAGTACTAATCCCACGCTTTTACTTTTGGTCGTTACAGCTACCCCAGAATTGCATTTCGATCGGAAGCTTTTCTTTTCTCTGAATTTGGGATCAATGATGTCATCGATGAAAATTAGCAATAGGAGCATCTTTGCTAGTTTAGTACTATAGGAGTTGCTGGAGCTAGGAAAAAATAATTGTTTTCCTTTACACAATATATGAGGTGAACTTGGCTTAAGTGGTAGTTAATGTTTCTCGTCACATTGTACACTTATATGCATAATAATATACCTTGAAAGGACCAATGCACTAGGAAGCAGCTTGGTGGTGCTGCTAGGTTTGGACAATTTGGAAGAACCTCTTTGTTTGGAGTACTTCTTTTGGACACTTGTACCAAAAGCTGTCCTAGGTGGAAATCTAATACCACAATACTCAATTGGCATGTTTTCAGTTTCTAGGTGTCATCTAACTCAACCACTCAATGACTTATTATTTTCTCTTTTCATAGTGAAGTTCCTCAACTCAATCATGACACATGAACCATGGCCATTACTGTCAGTCTTGAGCTATGCGACTCTATCTGTGATTGTTTGTGATACTCATATGACCGCTCATTTTTGTCTTGATTGTTTTTTCTGACACAACTCATTACAACCTGGCATATTGATAAACCAGGACCAAATTACTGATAGAAAGTTGGGGAATTGTTTTATGTTATGGAAATTGCACAGCATTCATGCGATCATCTTACATCTGAATAACCACTATCTGTATACCAAGATCTTAATTTTTAAGTCCTCACTTTTATACCATTAAGATTAGACAAAGTTGGTTTCGGCATTCTGTTTTATTTTATTGTGTGGCTTGTTACAAACAACTGAATGAATGGGCGCTACAAGAGAGTGAGAAGGTGGGGAAGGGATAGATCAATTGGAAGTTAACATTATGTATCACTGTGAGAATGCACTGTAGTCTTGTGTAGGTTTATCTTGAATATACCATTTGAGGCTCTGATACTGTTATCTTTGCATCCTTGCTGTCTCATCTATTTTTCAGTTGCTTCGCATATGCAAATAATTACCATGATACAGGGTGCATGCATTGCAGTCTAGTTGGTGTAAAGTACACAAGTCAGTGGGAGTGTAGAAACCTTATCTTTCTTCTTTGTTTCCAAAGTCATCCTCCCTTGATTTCCCCTCCTCAAATTGTCAAATGTATTAATCTGCATTGCACGTAGGAGCCACACGGTGTTATTGTCCTCTAGCAATATTATATACCTGTTCTTAGATTGTGCAATGTAATGTGGTCATGGGCATATTCTTAAATTTACTTTATTCAGAGGCTTTATGGTGTCCTCCTTTTAAACAATTCCGGTACTAATGATCACATGTTAATACATTAGTTTTGAGAACACACAAATACCATGCACATTTTTGCATATAAAGAAGAAAATGAAGTTTGATGCAACACGGTGACAGATGACTGCACAGCACATTACTATTGTTGTACCTCTAGTGTGTGAAACAAAGGCATGTTCCAACTTAGAAACAGAAAAGAGTGACAGTGAAAACCACAGTTACACCACTTACATTCTCAGTGCTATCAGAACCAACTGCGCAGCAGCTGATGCCTGCGTACACCAAGGAGTCCCTCTTGCTGAATCCCTTTCATCTCTTCCTTCATCAATCTCTGCTTATCATTGAAAAAGCTTGGGATTTTCTTTCTTCCTTTCTTGGCTGCAAGCAAACCAATGTAATTAACCCTTTACTGAACTCGGAATTCCTCTATGGGAAGACAGGCACATTACAGTGCCATGTTCTCGTAGTATAGTTAATAGTATAATACATATATTTACCCATTCCTAGATCTGACCACTTACTACGAATATCTCGTATTTTTCCTTACTAAGTGGAGTATGTCTAAACTACTAGTTCCATATCGCAATATGTAGTCCCCAGATCTTGTGCTGCCTGTCATTTTTTTATCTCCTTGAGAAAACCTACTTTGTTGATTTTTTTTTTAAGAAAATCAGTTACGTTCTCGACTTGGCTTGAACCGCTTCTATATATTGTCAACCTATCAGTTGTTTAGTTTCGCATGTGATATTTACATTCTAGTTGATGTTTGCTGCATGTACATATTTATTTTCCTGACTGATATTTCATGTTTATGGTGATTGATACAGCCTGAAATCCTTGCTTTTCAGATATTTATGTTTTTTTATGTTGTCCCTTGCTACAGACTTGATTCATGTCTTCTCCTCAGTGCCAAGGCATCTCAACTTCATCGATCACACTAGTGATATTGGATGGAAAGAGTATGTTATATCTGAACTTATAAATAATTTATCTGCGCAAGTATTAGTTTCACCAACATGCTGTGGGTAATACTGTTACAGGACTCAGAGAGTGCAACCAATCATAGTAGATGCTGGAATATACTTGGCAGGAAGAAATCAGTTCTTCCAAGCCACAGAGAAACGTGATACTCCTGATGGTTTCAAATTCTTCACAGGCATTTTCTGACTCCTTTCACTTCATTTTCCTTCGTTTGATCAACTAGTTCTGTGATTCATGGGTTTCCTCACATACAGGTTCTCCGTGGGTCATTCTAAATCGACGGTTTATAGAGTATTGCATATTTGGTTGGGAGAATCTCCCTCGAACTCTTCTCATGTACTTCACAAACGTAATGCTACCTCAGGAAGGGTATTTCCACTCAGTTGTATGCAACTCAGACTTCCGTAACTCCACAGTTAACAGCGACATGCGGTATATGGAATGGGATGATCCACCCCAGATGGAACCCCATTTTCTGAACACGACACATTATGATGAGATAGTGGAGAGCGGAGTGCCTTTTGCTAGAAAGTTTCGGGAGAATGAACCGCTGCTGGACAAGATTGATGAAAGAGTACTCCACCGTTGGCGTCACAGACCTGTTCCTGGTGCCTGGTGCACAGGCAGAAAAAGGTGGTTCAATGATCCATGCTCCCAATGGAGCAATGTCAACATTGTAAGACCTGGTCCCCAGGCTGAGAAGTTCCGCAAACATATGAATCAGATCATAGAGGAATCTGCATCAGGCAACAACTCATGCAAGCAATAGCAGCAATGAAGCGCGAGATTTCACTTCCCATGTTTGAAGCGATGAGCTTTTCTCATTTTGCATAGAGGGGCTCTTCACGAACTTCAGCAGTTAACGCTTCCAGAGCGAACATTTTTGCACCTGGGTTACAAGCACACGTCCAAAGGTGAGATGGGTTTATTCTTTCCAGATTTTTTGGTAACTGTCATGGCTTCAAGGGCCTCACTGCATAGCGCATACTAGCTTAGTTGGAAGTCAGAGTGCTGATGGTCGGAGCACCAAAGCTAATAGGCAGTGTAATTATTAGTGATCAGTTGAATGACTTGTGCGACTGTTTATAGAACTGATGGAATTCTGGGTGCTCCCATACAGGATTGAGAAAAATGAAGAGTGGGTGATGGTGGTTGGATTCTTACTGTTGTGGTTAATACAATGCTCTTTGCGCCCATGGCACCTCACTAACTATTTAATATCATGCATTGCCAGGATTTGAGTAGTACTGTGGTGGGCTAATCATCTGGTATGGTATGTTATTAAGAGTTCTATACACACTTTTTTTTTTGCGGGGAAGAGTTCTATACACTCTTTAGGACCTTTTGGCATGGTTTTGAATTATGAAGTGAGCCATGTTTCACTAGAAAATCTAAGGCAGTAAATGAATACGAAGTGATTTAACAGACTATTACAGTAAATGAAAATCTAAGGCAGTAAATGAATATGAATATGAATATTAAGTGTCAGAGCTGTAACCACAGAGACAGCTCAGAGTTTAACAGACTATTTCAGGCCAGCAATTGTGGATGCTATGTTCTTCCATCTTCTGTTTGTACTCAACTCAAAAGCATGCTTCACAATCAGATTCAGATAAGTCAGGGATCCAGACGTACGCCCGGCTCCGAGTGTTACGAACTCCGAACAAATTCAATCCTGTTACACCGGTTCCTCGCGTCGGCACGTGGGTGCGAATGGCGATTTTTTTTTTACCTATTTAGGGCCTACTGAGATTAGTGCCATTTTCAATCATACTATTTTTTAGCTTAGTTGCTAAAAATGTGTCTACGCTTAGTTTGTTGCCAAACTTTGGTAAATACATAAGAAATCTTGCCAAAATTTTGACAATATTGCTAACTTGCCAAAATTTTGGCATGTTTATTTTGGCTACAACTGAATATGCCTTTAATTTTTTTTAGTAAATTCTACAAATTATATGCACTTTGGTCACTACATAAAAAAATACAGAATTAAGAATATATTTTTCATAAAAGTACAGATTTAACATAAAGAAAAATCACTCTCGCCCTTCGCGCTGACCTCCTCACAGCTGCTCTCGCACCAACCTCCATACTCGCTGCGTCTGGTGAGATGAGAGGAGAGGACAGGATGGATTGGTGGGGAGGTGGATAAGTGGTGGAGAGAGATGTGAAAGAAAGAAGAGGGGAGTAACGAGGAAGAAGATGAATCTGATGTGTGAAACCCACGTGCAGATGAGGAGATGGATGGAAAATGTGACGGCAGTGGCACGGTTCTAATTTTGTAAATTTCAATGTCAAGGTTACAAATAAACGAATTGTAATGGCATTTATATGGAATGGCATATTTGCACTGGCATGGATCAAATTAACCCTAAATAAACCTAAAAATTAATTTTAGTTGGTCGCATGCAACACATTTTCTTGTAAAATGATGATTATTTTGAAAAGACCTTAAGAACCTTAGGTGTTGATCAAAATGGGATGTGAGTAGGAATTCCATGTGAGTAGAGTCTGCCAACTCTTATGGGCTGAAAGATGTGACGCGGCCTAAAAGAGGCCACAGCCTTGAACGAACGGGCCGGGCCAGACTGGGCTGTAAGATTTGAGGAAATCGCGTAGGATAATATTAGGGCTTGTCAAGAGAATTTTTCGATAACCGCTAATCCCCAACTCCAAGGTAGCCGACACAAAAAGAATTAAAATTATCCACTAAAGAAGGCGATACATCATCCACCAAGGTGAGCAACTTTCTTCTTTCAACGATTGTTTGTTCTCTTGGACCAAAATCGATCTGCTTCTTCTGTTCTTCAGTCATGAGTTTCTTGCGAGGAAAACACGGGCTGTATGATTAGATGAAGATGATGATGATCTTAGGATTTAGATTAACTGCTATTGAAGTGATTATTGCGAGTATAGTCCTTAAGATATGTGATCAATTTGTTCTCATATTGGTGCTTAGCATCCTAATTCCGATTGGGATTAATTTCGACAGCCCTGAAATCTCTGAAACATTCTGAATTCTGATACGCTTCCAACATGGCGGTTTTACAGATGGCTCGTGAGAAGAGGTCGTGTCCGAGAGCTTCAGAGACGCAGCAGAACAATTCAGAAAAGAAGGGAAAGGTGGATGGTGAGAGTGCAGCTCGAGACAAGAGGGCTATCACTGTCACTGTAGATCCTGAGGTTCTGGAATGTGATGTCTGTTTCGGCCCTCTCACTCCCCCACTTTATCAGGTAAATAAGCATATATTGATCCTTCTTCTTGCTGATCATGATTCCATTTACAAGTTTGTTTATTAGTATTTACTTTGCTCTTCGTGTTATAAGTTTTTCAGTGTTTCAGAAAAGAAACTTTAATCATGTTCAGGTCATATCTGCATTATCTGCAAATGTCTCAATTCTTAACTCTTTGTAGTAGAACGTCCAGTGATTACTCATTCAGTTTCAAGTTTCAACAAACTGACACGAATATGTGCTGAATAATCATCGAACTTTGATCATACTACAATATTATTTCAGATTTATAGGACTGTCTGAACATTCTGAACCAGCATTCCATGCCTGAACACTTTCTACTTCTATTTCGATACTCTCCTTACGACATCCTGAATTCTTGAGAATCTGCGTGCTATAATATTGATCACATTGTTCATGTCGTTGTTTGCCATGAGACGCGAAAGCTTAGGAAGACAATTAAGCTTATAGTTGTTGTTAATAATCATGCAGTGCATGAGGAGAGGGCACATCACCTGCTCGACGTGCGTCGCGGAGATGGGGCAGGAGTGCCAGTGGTGCCGCGCGCCGGAGGCCACCACCACGCGCTGCCGCGCCATGGAGCACTTCCTCGCCGCCCTCGCCGTGCCGTGCTCCTTCAACCACAAGGGCTGCGCCGCCATGGTGCCCTACGGCGAGCGGGAGGCGCACGAGGCGGCGTGCGCCCACTCGCCGTGCTACTGCCCGATCCGCGGCTGCTCCTCCTCCCCTTACTCCGGCGTGTCCCTGGTCGAACACCTCGAGCGCAAGCACCCGGAGATCGGCCGCACCCGCGTCGACCGCACCACCCTCTCCCCGCTCAGAATGTGCCACGGCGAGCCGGCCCGGCTGGTGTACCTCGCCGGCGACGACAGGGACAGGGCGGTGTTCCTCCTCGCCGTCGACCGGAGCGAGGCGCCGCGAGGCTGGTCGCTGTGGATGGTCAGGCTCAAGGCAGAAGAAGAAGAAGAAGAAGACAAGGGGGAGCTGAGGTACAAGATCATGGTGGCCGCCAATGGCGGCGTGCTGTCGCTGGTCGGCGAGACGGAGAGCGTGGGGCGGCTGACGGCGCCGTACAGGGCGAGCTCCTTCCTGTTCGTCCCGGGCGCCATGCTGGATGCTCCCCCTGAGGCTGAGGGCCTCCTCGTCTTCGTCGAGCTCAAGTGAGCTCAATTAGCGCTGTTGCAATACGTATTACAAGTTCATTAGAGTCTACTGATAGTGATATCTCCATTGATGGGATCATGCAAGTGTGCAAATAGATATACAATTGTTCTGAATCGATTATTTGAAAAAAAAAAAAAGAACAAGCTCAACAGAGGCTATAATGGATGCCTTGTGGATATTGGCCAACAGGGACAAGTCCATCATATAGGTTCAGACTTCAGACCTCTTCTCCTGATAGGAGTTTCAGATGCTGTGCTGCATGCAACAAAAGTTAGCAGCAATTTTTTCTGTATTCGTATACATGAATCTAGAAGCCGACACGTGGATGCGAAGGTTGTGCCAAAGAAAATACTGTGACAAGTTGTGTGCATTATACGATCCTAACTACTGTATCATGGCTATATTTATAGGTGCTTGCGATCGAATAACTTGCTTTGAAAGCATGCAAGAACCCAACTATACATCTTTAGGCGCAAAATTCCCATCTTTATGGTGCTTGGTGCCATGAACTGACCTTAGTGGCAATGAATGATTATTACTGATCTGAGAAAGCCTACGATATCTTCAGACTTGAGGCATCAATATACAGAAAATGACAACTCAACACGACACACTCCCTCAACATCATCTTCTTCTTTGCTATGGGTCTTCAGTGCAAAACCAAAAGTTCATCTTTTCAAGGGCAAATCATTGAGTAGTACATTGCTGATAAGTGATAACATGCGTAATCAGTCGGCTTCTTGTTATCATCATCAAAAGAGACACAACAATCGTCAGTAGCGACTGACTGGCACTTGATTGTTGGTTGATTGCCTCATGTTCAGCTTAACTGAATCAATTGACCAGTATGCACGTGTTATGTTGCTTGTTTGTAGGTAGTTAGTTAGCAACAACAACACGAGTTAATTGTACTTATAAATCACATTGCAATCTTGGCATGACTCAACAGCTCACTTTTGGTGAAATGATCAGTAGTGACCGAAGCCAAAAGCATCTATCTGCGACCCAAGAAAAAGGTGGTCAGCTACCCCGTCCATTGGAGTGGAGTGGAGATATGGTGGAGCAGAACAAGAGGGCGAGGGCCAATGGCGAGGTCAAGCAGGAGCAGCAGCAAGAGGAAGAAGAAGAGGTTGAGGAAGGAGAAGTGAGCCAAGAAGAAACCCAAAGGACGGGAGCTTTCCCTCTGGTGACCATGGCCGCCATGGAGCAGACGGAGGAGGAGACGCAGATCGACGTCAGGATCGCCGTCGCCTTGCTCCACTGCCATGCTTGCCTCCAACCTCTCAAGCCTCCCGTCTTCAAGGTCACTGCTCTCTGTTGATCTAATTCGGATGCAAAGATTCCTATCTTGATCCTTCTTTCTCACCCTCTCTTCTTAACTTCTCAAGACTTTGATAGAGCGAGGCTTGTGTTGATTATAAGGGTTAGGTTTTGAACGATCTCGGCCATGTTTCTTTGTTGGCCTAGGATTATAATCCTGTAATTTTTTCCTACTCTATCTATCAATAGAATTTCACACTATGTTGTGCGAGTCGTTAAAAAAAAGATTCCTATCTCGATTTAATTTCTTCTTGTTCTTCTTGTTGTTGTGTTTGTGATTAATTGCAGTGCGATGAGGCGCATATCGTGTGCTCCGGCTGCCGCTGCGGCCACCATGGGCAGCTGTGCGGTGGCGCCGCCGTGTACAGCCACTGCGCCGAGCTGGACGCCATCGTCGCCACTGCCAAGGTGCCGTGCGCCCACGCGCCGTACGGCTGCAGCAGCTACGTCGTGTACGCGGGCGTCGCCGACCACCAGCGCGCGTGCCCGTGCGCGCCATGCTCCTGCCCGGAGCCCGGCTGCCGCTTCCGCAGCTCGCCAGCGGCGCTCCCCGGCCACCTCGCCGCCGGCCACTCCTGGCCCGTCGCCGAGATCGCCTACGGGAAGCCGCGCAAGCTCGCCGTGCCGCCGCCCGCCCACGTCCTCGTCGGGGAGGCCGACCGCGCCGTGTTCCTCGTGTCGTCGTGCGCCGTCGGCGCGGGCGCCGCGGTGTGCGTGGTCTGCGTCAGGGCGAACGGCGGCGGCGACAACGCGGCGGCGGTGGCGCGGTACAAGTGCAAGTTGTGGGTGGAGGTGCCTAGCAACGACGACAACATGGCCATGATGACGTCGATGGTGAGGAGCAGCGACCTCGCCGGCGGGTTCCCGGCGGCGGACAAGGGGATGCTGCTGTGGGTGCCGCCGGAGATGCTGCACGGCGTGCCCGGCGGCGAGGCGGCCATCCTCAGCATCCGCATTGATAGAGCTGCTGCTGCCACGCCCAAGTTCACGACTACACGAGCCAGGTCCCAGAAGGGAATGCACTGAAGCTTAGGGTCTCCAGCGTTTCGGTTTTGATTTTTAGCACTAGATAAGCTATTAACGAAATTACTTTGGATTTACTTATTTCTTTAAGGAGCTTATATATAAAATTATTTTAGACAAAACATACCGTTCAATATTTTGGAATGCGTGCTAATTTGATCTTTGAAGCTGTGGGAAAGAATGCAACCTAGTACTGTAGAATGGTTTATCTTTTGCATGTCTAGCCAATAAGTAATACACAACTCATGAATATTGTAGAAATTTTGCAAGAATTTCACGGAAAAACAGTAAAACAGTTGAATTCCCGCAGTAATTTGTGGGTGGATCCCATCATTCCCATGTCTGTAAAAGGAAGTCTACTGCACCAGGAATTGGACACAAAATTCATCACCTGCATTTCAATGCCAAGCAGTGCCGCTTCACTTCAATACTACCATCTGTGTTCCAGTCAGGACTTCAGAACGTATGACAAAAGATGGTATGTAGTAGTATGAAGTATGAACTTGAATGACTCCATGCTAATTTTCTATTATGTTGTTTCCGCTGTTGAAAATAGTTCTGGGTGTGTTTAGTTCTTTGGGTGTAAAGTTTTTAAAGTATACGGACACACATTTGAAGTATTAAACGTAGACTAATAATAAAACAAATTACAGATTCCGTATGTAAACTGCGAGACGAATTTATTAAGCCTAATTAATTTGTCATTAGCAAATATTTATTGTAGCGTCATATTGTCAAATCATGGCGTAATTAGGCTTAAAAGATTCATCTCGCAATTTACATGCAAGGTGTACAATTGGTTTTTTTCCACATTTAATGTATCCATGCATGTATCAAACATTTGATGTGATGTTTTTAGCCAAAATTTTTTAGATCTAAACAAGGCCAGATATACTATTGATCTGAATCCATCATCCACAAAATGTACAAGCTCAACAGAATGACAGATGATGATGAGGGCCTTTTATGGGTTGTGGCCAACAGAGACCACTCAATCCATAGGTTCAGGCCACAGCACGGGATTGCTAACTTCTTGAGGGTGTTTGCCTGTTTGGTTTAGAGACACGTGAAATGGGATCAGTCTTTAAAATTAATATTCTTCCCTTAGGTTCATGCCAGCCTTATACAGTGAAAATCGACGGAGTAATCTAACTGACTTCTCTCTCGCTAACATACGGACCACATTATCCTATCTCTCAAAAACAAGATAATCCCATTTCTCATGTTGTATGGATAGTTAGGATCTTCCCCTCTAAATGCGAGGATGAGTCAAGTTCATTCTACTTCGTTCCTAATCCAAACGCACGCTAACTCTTCCAAGTTTTAGTCTTTACAAAATAACCACCGTTCAATGCTACCATTGAGTTGCAATCATGACCACAACGCAGTAGAAATTCAGTATATCAATCATTCAGGTCTTGAGGAGGCAACACAAGGATGTTGTATGAGAAATGAGACCTTTCACGGTGTTTGCATTTCAAAAAGAGTAAAGAGTCAACGCTTCATAATGAAAAGTACCCTGTAAAAGGTATTTGAGTATTGGCATAGGCACTTTACACATTGTTCTTTGCTCCATGTTCCCAACCCCTCTCCCTCGTATTCCGCGCGCACGCTTTTCAAACTGCTAAACGGTGTGTTTTTTGCAAAAATTTTCTATAGGAAAGTTGCTTAAAAAAATCAAATTAATCTATTTTTTAAAAAATTATTAATACTTAGTTAATCACGTGCTAATGAACCGCTCCCTTTTCCGTGTGGAGGAGATGGGTTCCAAACCAGGGCATGCGAACACAGCCTTAGGTACCAAGGGCAAAAAGATAAATTTGCTAGTAGAGATGAGAGGAAAGAGTTGTCTGCAAATTTAGATCGGTACCGCGTCGGCACCAGTTAAGTTGTTTGCATGATACTCCCTCCGTCCCAAAATAAGTGCAGTTTTGCACTATCCACGTTTAACGTTTGGCCGTTCGTCTTATTTGAAATTTTTTTATGATTATTATTTGTATTACTATTAGATGATAAAACATGAATAGTACTTTATGTGTGACTAAATATTTTTAAATTTTTCACAATTTTTTTGAATAAGACGAACGATCAAATGTTGGACACGGATATCCACGACTGCACTTTTTTTTGGACGGAGGTAGTACTAGCATTAAAGTTCTAATTTACGTGGTTTTCTCTAGATTTATATTTTGTTCCCAAGAATATCGTAGAACTCTTCCCATTAATTATCCATTACGTTATTTGCATAGTTATTTTGATATTTATATTTTGTTCCCAAGAACATCAAATATCACTCAAGGTTTACGTCAATTTAAGTTTTGCATTTTATTCATGGAAAACATAAACTGTAGATAAAATATTTCTAATGATTGCATCCATCTGAACATGCTATGGTAGGTTAACAAACAAGATACCAGAGCTTCTCTCTCGACCCTATATCCTTCAGGTTCAACTATTCAAACCCTAGAAGAAGAACAGAAAGGGATATCTCATTTTAGTCGCTTATACGAAGGAATTTGTTAACTATGTAAATAACGAATCAATTGTGTAAATAAGTATAGGAGCAGAGGAGATATTACCCGATGCGCTTGCGCCTAGCCGTCTATCGGCCCATCTTGAACCCTCAACCGTGCCGATATTTCCTCCTTTGTCTCCTTCTAGTGGAACAATTCAAACCCTAGAGCAAGAACAAAGCCAGGGTCGAAGAAAGGAGGCGTCGATCTCTTCTCTTTTTTTTTTTTCTGGTGCAGAAGCACGGATCGATTGTTGCATTGAATTGTCCGAAAGATTTACTTTGTTTTCTACCTAACAATACTGGTGATTGGACCTAGGTATTTGATTCACTCAAAATGCTCTTCTTCTTTTAGTAGTTAATTACTCTATTGGCCATTGCTATTAGTTATGATAATTTTATTCCGTACTTGTTGTAGCGCCCGTTCCGTCGTGGCGCCTAGCGGGAAAATTTAAATACTAAAAACCCTAATTGCGAAATCTGTTTCTTTGCTTGTTGTCAGTCTCCGTGCCAATCCCTGATCTCGAATCCTCGATCTATCGTCAAATTCAAATCCCGGATCCAAAAATCCTCCCCAAATCAAATTCCTCCGCAAAAGTCTATTTTTCCTCTCTTAGGTTCGGTGGGCCGATTTCCTCTCGGCCCATCTCTCTCTCTCTCTCTCTCCCTCCCTCAGCCCTCCTCTCCCTCGTCCCGCCCGTGCGTCGCACGCGCGTGCGCGTGAGCCGACGCCGAGCCGAGCTCTCCCTCTTTCTCGTTCTCCTGCTCTCCCTCCCCGTCTCTCTCTTCCCGGCGAGCCCCGCCCCCGAGTTTTGAATCCCCCGCGCCATTGCTTCCCGCGCGCGCGCGCGCCGTGGTGGCCGACCGGCCAGTCGCCGCCGCCGTCAGCGCCTGCCGCCCTGTAGCCGCGCCCTTCCAAACCGCCCCCGCCGTCATCGCCGTCGTTACGACCCGGCCCCGCCACCACCGCGCATGCTCCCAAGGATTGGAGGCAGAGCTCCTCCTCCCACTGCCTCGTCGCCCTCTCTCTCCTTCCTTCTTTTCCCAAAGTGGCAAGAGGCAAGTCTCCTTTCCCCCTTCCTTTCTTCCTTTTTCTCCCCGCCGGCGTCATCCTCCCTATCGCCGTTTTGGCCGTGACCGCCGAGCGCCAGCTTGCTCTTTGACCGCCCTAGGTCGGTTTCCAAACCGGCATTGCCCTCCTATTAAACCAAGGCGCCCTCCCTTCCTTTCCCTCCCCATTCCCCCTCGCTCCACCACGCCATTGCCATCCCCTCTGTCTCTCTATCGCCGACCGCTGCCGTCGCGTGTGCCGGAGGAGCCGGTGTGCGCTAGGACGCGGAAGGGGACTCTGGGCGCTCGTCTTCTTCCTCTTCCCCGGCCTGAGGCCGGAGAGATCACTCCCGTGCCGTCGGCCTCTCGTCACAGCGCCCTCCTCTACAGCGGTAGTGCATCCTCCCCGTTCTCCCTCCTCGTTCCTCCTCTTCCCCTTAGCTTTCGGTAGAAGCTTGTATAGCCTCCCCGTAGCTAGCTGGCGCCGCCCCGACCGTTGCCGCCGCTCGCTGTGTGCTCGCCGCCGTCGCCGCCCGTGCTCGGTAGCGCCCACACGTCGCCGGCCTCTCTCGTAGTGTCTCCGTCCAATCTGACGCTAGAAACGGATTCCCGGAGTCGCGTAGATGCTCTAGCTCGCCCGAATCGACCTCCCGTCGCGCCGTCGCCGTTTCCCCCTTCCCTCGCCGACGGTTGCCGCCGCCGCAATCCGCCGCCGTCGAGCTCCCTCCGGCGAATCCGAGCCGTTGGATCGTCTCCCCTCGTCTCGTGCAACCACCCGGTGTGCCCGCTTCCGCCGGTATCGCCGTGGTTCGCCCCGCCGTTCGTAGCCGCCGTCCGCCGTCCGTTTTGGCCGGCGCCGTCTTCAACCTCCCGCCGGCCTGTGTGGCAGCCACGTAGGCGCCACGTCGGTGCCAGCTCGGCTAAGACCGGGTCAAGCCGACCTCGGTCCGCCGCTCCCCTCTGCCCCGCTCGCGCGCGCGGTCCACCATGAGCCATGAGGCTGCGCGTGGGCCCGCCGCAACCGCACCCCCGCGAGCCGCGCGCGTGCACCGCGTCCCTCCCCCAAATCCTAGCGCGCGCCGCGTGCTCCCTCCGCACGGTGAACCGTGCCACCGACAAGCGGGTCCCGCTCGGGACCACGCGAGGTGAGCCCGGCCCACTGGCTCCCCCTCTCCTCCCCTCCCGCGCGTGCCTTGGGCCGCCTTCTCGGGCCGGCCGGCCCATTAAGCTCAGCCGAGCCGCCCTTTTCTCTCGGGTCGCACCCTAGCCGCCCGAGGGAAGTCTGTTTCCCCTCCCTCTTTCTTTTCTCTTTTTCAAAAGGGTTTAATTAAATCCTTTTTCCTTTAGACCAAAAATCCAATAATCTTAGAAATTCAATATCTTCTTAATCGTATGTCGGTTTGACTCTGTTCAACTTCTAAAATTCTTCAAATCTCGAGATCTATTTAATGGCACGTTTAGAGGTCAATAATAGAGCTTTATTTTCGTTGTTTGTTGAGTTGTCCCGTTTTGCGTGTAGTTTCGGAGCCCGAAGACCCGCAGTGCGAGGATTTCGAGGATCAAGCTCAAGATCTCGAGCAAGGCAAGTCACCTTTGATCATCTTGCACCGATAATTTAAATCTAAGTATTTCTTTTCCGCAAATATTGCATGAATAGGATTTACACAAGTAATTCGGCCGCGGCTTGCGAGATAGCCTGCCGGCCCCCAATCCTAATTGCTGCAATTACCCTCCTTGAATTGTTGAACACTTAAACCTTCTTTGTCACCTGTTGTGCTTCGATGCACGGGCCCTCGGGCACGCGCATCGGAACACCTCCCCTCAAATTTAAAATATCTAACGATGGGTAAAACTTGGGTTTTACAAAAGACTTGGAAAACCCGACACCTGGGTCGGTGCTTGCGAACTAAATGAATTTCCAAAATCGCGGATCGGGAAATGTACCGGGAGTACGGTTTCCCGCTCTTGCACTTAAGGACCGTTTTCCTTTGGAATTACATCCGAGCATACAATAGTGCGACCACATGGGTGGAATGGGGCACCCCTGGCTGAGTAATTAGCTAATCAGGGGAGCCTTGATGCCGAGAGACAAGTGGATTCGCCGGGGTGGTGTCGGGGAGGACCCTTGGGCTTCCTGGCACAGTATGGTCTGGGACCTAACCTGTTGTTGGTCTGGGACCCCTCTCGTCGGCATATGGTAAACCTGTGTCGGCTTTGGAAATGCCTTGTCATGAAAGCTTGGAGGTCTCCCGACGTGGCTGATCCCCACGGGCTGGGTGATCCGGGTTAGTAATGTCGTGTGGGTAAAGTGTACCCCCTCTGCAGAGGTTATTAAACTGTTCGAACAGCCATGCCCACGGTCATGGGCGGATGTGAGGTGATTCCTAGCGTAGTTTTGTTTGACTACTGCTTTGTGAAATTGCTGTTGTGGAATGGGATCGATGTTTGGAAAATCTGCGGCTGATGGGATCAGCTAGGCCCGGGTGGCCGTTTGAAAGTTGTGGCCGGGTGCCAACCTTGAATCAATTCAAAGACTGATACATCGCACATACTCCGGCCGGACGAGACGCACTGCCTCATCCGTGTCGTTTGAGAATCACTCACTTAGTTGTTTCAAAAAGGAGTTTAAATAAAGTCATTTGCAAAAACAACAGCCTTACCTTTGAAGCCTGCATTAAACACTTAATTCCCATGGCTTGCTGAGTACTCCTGTACTCACCCTTGCTCTATATAAATAATTCCCCCCCAGTTGCTGAAGAGGATGAAGTGGATCCCGCTGACGAGGAGTTTTTCTAGGAGCAAGTCGGCTACGATGAGTTTTAGGGTTTCGGTCTAGTTCCCAAGTCGTGCCTGTGATGATGGGTCCAAGTCTTGGCTTCCGCTTTCCCTTTTGTAATGCAGTTGTGAGCTCGGGATCTGTCCGCAGCCCAACATGACTGTACACCTACTCTGTAATAAAGAGACCTCTGTTGCTGTGATATTCTGTCTTCCTGGGACTGGTATCGATTAACAGGTTAATTTGGAGCGTCACGGGCTAGTTCTGTTCGGGGCTAGTTCGGGGCGTGACACTTGTCTCTCTTTTAATTAATGGTTTATATTGTTCCACCTCTCAATACATTTAAGTACTCTCAAACACCGTAAAAGGTCTCATGAGAAATTGCATTGCGCCTTTACGGTTGCTTGATCCAATGATCTGACCACCTTGTAGAGAAAGGGGAGATAGAGAAGATTAGGAAGATACGCAAAACGAGGTGAGTTATTATTGCATGACTAATGAGTATTAATTATTTTAAATTTCAAAATGAACTAATATGATTTTTAAAGCAACTTTTCTATAGAAAATTTTTACAAAAGACACACCGTTTAGTAGTTTGGAAAGCGTGCGTGTGGAAAATGATGTGCTTTCTATCTCTAATCTCCTAGGCTGTGTTTAGATCTAAACTTCCAACTTTTTCCATCACATCAACCTATCATACACACAACTTTTCAGTCACATCGTACCAATTTCAACCCAAACTTCTACCTTTGAAAGTAACTAAATACAGCCCTAAACAAACGCATAGTGGCAAAGGAAGGCCAAAGTGGTTGCAAACTGGCAATGATGAACGGCTACTGATATACTCCCTCATATTTTTTTTTAAATGTGACACACCCTAATACTTATATGTCGCCTCCTTAAACAGTGTATTAGGCTACGTTTAGTTCACATTAAAATTGAAAATTTGGTTGAAATTAGAATGATGTGACTGAAAAGTTGAAAGTTTATGTGTGTAGAAAAATTTTGATGTGATGAAAAAATTGAAAGTTTGAAGAAAAAAAATTTGTAACTAAACACTACCTTACTGAACTAGTCCGTAGTAACTCAACAGTAATGCGTGATGAATCAACTTGTGTCATCAATCAAGTAAAAACAACAAATCTTGGGTCCAGAGGCTAGTTAATCCCCATATCCGTTTCTGGGAACCGACTGATCCTGTGATGTTGCACACTGTCTCACTTCATTTGGCTCATGAGCTCATGCTCATCTCTTCCCAGTCCCACCACATGACTCAACAACACATTCTCTGTCTCTCTCTCGCTTTCTAGTTCTTGGCTTCTTGCAATGAACTGATTACTACGTTTTGTTCTACTACTACCACCACCACCACATCATCTCCGGAGACTGCAGAAATGGCTGAGCAGAACAAGAGGAGCTCGTCGGCGGCGGAGAACGGCCACGCCGGCGGCAAGAAGGCGAGGGCCAACGTCGAGGTGAAGCAGGAGGAAGAGGAGGCGGAGGAAGGAGAGATGAGCCAAGAAGAAGAGAGCGCAAAGACGGGGCCTCTGGTGGTGGCCACCGCCATGGACGACCCGCAGATCGACGTCAGGATCGCCGTCGGCTTGCTCCACTGCCATGCCTGCCTCCTCCCCCTCAAGCCTCCCGTCTTCAAGGTCTCACTCTCACTCTCACTTCATTTCAAGATTCCTCTCTTGATTTCATTTGTTTCTTTTTGTTTTTCTTCTCATGTCGTCGAATGTTTGATAGCTTTTGTTGTAATCTTGGATTTTTGTGTTTGGATCAAATCTTCTTTTGTTGTGTGGTTTTGCAGTGCGAGGCGGCGCACGTGGTGTGCTCCGGCTGCCGCGGCAACCACGGCCAGCTCTGCCGCCGCGCCGCCGCGTACGCCCACTGCGCCGAGCTGGACGCCATCGTCGGCGCCGCCAAGGTGGCGTGCGCCCACGCGCCGTACGGCTGCGACAGCTACGTCGTGTACGGCGCGGCCGCCGAGCACCAGCGCGCGTGCCCGTGCGCGCCCTGCTCCTGCCCGGACCCCGGCTGCGGCTTCCGCGGCTCGCCGGCGGCGCTCCTCGGCCACTTCGCCACCGACCACCCCTGGTCCGTCACGCAGATCAGCTACGCGAAGCCGTGCAGGCTCGCCGTGCCGCTGCCCCGGCGGTGCCACGTCCTCGTCGGGGAGGACGACCGCGCCATGTTCCTGGTGGTGTCCCCGTCCCCGTGCGGCGTCGGCGTCGGCGCGGCGGTGTGCGTGGCGTGCGTCCGGGCGAACGGCGACGACGCGGCGGCGGCGCAGTACAAGTGCAAGCTGTGGGTGGAGGTGCCGACCAACAGCGACAACATGGTGATGATGACGTCCAAGGTGAGGAGCAGCGACCTCTCCGGCGGGTTCCCGGCGGCGGAGCAGGGGATGTTCTTGGTGGTGCCGCCGGAGCTGCTTCACGAGGTGTCCGGCGAGACGCCGATCCTCAGCATCCGCATCGATCGAGCTGCTCCCGCCATTGCCAAGCCCACCACTCCACGAGCCAGGTCCCTGAGGAGATTGCAGTGAAGCTTATGTGAATCCAATAGAGTATATGCTTAAGATGACAGTCTGGTATTAGTACTTGATCTTTTGTGTATTGACTAGCACTAGCCAATATATGAGTAATGGAGTATGGTTTAACTCATGACTTGTGTAGGAATTTTGTACGGTTTGACTCTAATGTTGTTAGTAATTTAACTTGAGATTTGTGAACCGATGATGAACTGTTCATGTATGATGCTACCGTTTCAGAAATTGGACGCCATTGCTCACATGCATGATTTCGACTATTGCATCACGCAGTGCTGCACCAGAGGAGGAAGAGAGGTGGTCCAATGTTTATGCTCCCTAGTTAAAAAAAAAGGCAAATTTTGCCACAGGACATCGTGACTTTACGGTTTTAGCTGTAGAACACCGCGCGAAGTGACTTTTGGGGGAATACACTCTCAAAATGTGGTTATTTGCTGGTGGACACCGCACCCATTAAATTAATAATTTCCAGTTGAATAGGAGAGAGAAATTGTGTGAAAAGGAGAGAGAAATTGTGTGAAAGTTCTAAAATGTCCTTGGGTCCATATGTCAGGTCTTTCCTTCTCTCTTCTCTCTATCCCCTCCTTCCACACTGCTATTGCTAGTGCTTCTCCGTCCTCCATGTCGACGCGAAGGAGATGGCTCGTGCTGGGCTAACCCACAAGCAGGAACCCGGCGAGGGAGGCCAGCTGATTGGAGCCGTATGCCGGCGAGGGAGGAAGCGCCACACGTCGGGCGGCGCTGTGGGGTCAGGGAGCGGAGCAGAGAAGAGCTGGGCGTGGGGGCGGCGGCGGGGGCAGTCGTCTACGGTGGCAGCGGCCGTCTTCTGCTGCAGCTAGTGCCGCACAGCCACGCCAGCCGTTGCTCCGCCATCGCGCCGGCCGCCGCTCCTGCACAAGTGCACCACCGTGTCGCGCGCCGCCCGCATCACGCCGCACGGTTGCCGCGAGCCGCGTCGTCCGCTACTCCACCTTCGCGGTGGCCCGTCACTCCTGCACGAGGGCGCCATTGCATCGCTCGCCACCCTGTGCGGCGTCGCCGGCTGCTAGTATCGCCCAATGCCCTGTGCGGCGTCGCCGGCTGCTCGTATCACCCAATGCACTGTGCCACGTCGCCGGCAGCTCGCATCGCCCGCCACCCTACGCCGCGTAGCCACGCCGGTCGTTGCTCCGCCATCGCACCGACCGCCGCTCCTGCACGAGTGCGCCCCCGCGTCGCGCGCCGGCCGCCCACAACGCGCCGCACGGTCGCCGCAAGCCGTGCCGGCCGCTACTCCACCTTCGCGCTGGTCGCCACTCCTAGACGAGTGTGCCATCGTGTCACCCACCGCCCTCTGTCCCTGCATCGCGCGCCGCACGGTCATCGCGAGGCGCGCCATCGAGGGAGAGAGAGGAAGAAGATAGGAAGAGAAAGAGGAATAAGGGGCAATTTAGTCAAGTCATATAAAAAAGTGGAGCCATCTCATCTAGTCAGCACAGAAATCATTAATTTAATGGGTGCGGTGTCCACCAGCAAATAACTACATTTTGAGAGGTTCCCTAAAAATCACTTCGCGCGGTGTCCTACAGTTAAAATCGCAAAGTCACGATGTCCTATGGCAAAATTTGCCAAAAAATAACCAACCTCCTACTAATCTGGATATATATATATAATGTCTCATATCCTCGATATTAGGTTGGCTAGTGCTAGAAATTTGGATAGTTTTCTAATATCTAAATATGTTTTTTATAAAAAGGTTTATTTATTTTAAAATCAGATAAACTTATTTTGGGAAGGGGGGACTACCAGTCCAAAGCTTGCTTCAACTTTCAAGTCGATATCTGCAAAAGAGGCGTATAGTCGTATAGAGGCTTCAAGCGTGGCAGAAATGTACGTACTACAGGCTTCAAGTTGCATCCTAGTAGAAATATCGTGTACAGGCTTCAATAGCCAACGCTGGTGTGCAGTAAAATTTTGTTGCAGTATTACTACTGTACTACCTCCGTCCCAAAATAGTACAGCCATAAGTTTCTATGTCTAACTTGATCGTCCGTCTTATTTAAAAATTTTTAATACTTAGATTTTTGTTGTTACGAGATGATGAAATATGAATAATACTTTACTCGTGACTTATGTTTTTAAATTTTGTTTAAATAAGACGAACGGTTAAAGTTGACCGCGGAAAAATATAGCCGCACTTATTTTGGAATGGAGGGAGTACTTGTTACTCTGAACATTTTACCTCACTGAAACATACACATGCCACTACTATGCATTATTGCAACCGCCACCTCTTTTCATGTTTGGATGTAACAATTCTGCTTTAATACAGTGCCAACCTACTCCTACACATATCTCTTCTTGTGAAAGATCTTTTTTTCTCTTTTGTTACAAATGGTTCGGTTTATTTTTTTACTGGAATTCAGAGGTATACTGCTACAGTACTACTCTAAAGTAAATGCAGTGCTGCCCTGTTGACGTGGCGTGAACCCAGAACGTTTGAAATACTGAAGAAAGAGAGTAACTTTCCACTCTATAATTATTACAACAATTTTGTACTCCCTCTATCCCCATTTTAAATACAACCATTATTTAACATGTCCAATTTTAATCGTCCGTCTTATTTAAAAAAATTAAAAATATAAATCACGAGTAAAATATTATTTATATTTTATCATCTCATAACAATAAAAATACTAATTTTAAAATTTTTTAAATAAGATGGACGATTAAAATTAAACGTAAAAACTCATGGTTACATTAAAATAGGATGGACAAATACAGTTTTACTACCTCACCTCCCACTCTACTGCTACTCAACAATGCACCAGCAACAAAGTTCATGCCTTTTCAAAGTTCATAATGTAGGAGCTTGTTGAATGACCCCCCCCCCCCTTCCCGGTTCATGCCTTTTGGTTTATTCTCTCTCTGGTCGTCTATTGCTGCAAACTGCAACCAACCACCGATTGTTTGTTCATGCTGTTGCAGTTTTCAGTCAACAAGGACGCACACAAGAGCCGATCGCCGTAGACGACGATGCAGCACGGCGAGCAGAGCGGCGCCAAGAAGGCGGCGGCGTGGGTGGTGTCGCCCAACGGCCAAGTCAAGCGAGAAATGGCGGTGGAAGCGGCGCGCGGCGAGGGAGCTGCTGCAGCCGCCGGAGCCGGAGAAGAAGAAGAAGAAGTCCAAGCCGGCGGGATGATCGCCGCGGCGGTGGGCGACGGCTTCGAGGGTGTGGAGATCAGCGTGCGGATCGACTTGGCCGTGCTCCACTGCCCCCTCTGCCTCCTCCCCCTCAAGCCCCCGACCTACCAGGTACCAGCTGTTCGTCCAATTCATCACCTATTCTTCTTCTTGCTGTCGATTCGTGAGGTGCTCGGCTAGTGACGATTTCTTGGCGTGCAGTGCGCGGCGGGGCACTTGGCGTGCAGCAGCTGCCATGGCGACGTCCCGGGCAAGAAGTGCCACACGTGCGGCGGCGGCGGCGGCGGCGGCGTCTACGCGCGATGCCCCGGGCTGGACACGTTCCTCCGCGCCGCCAAGATCCTGTGCCCCAACGACCTGTTCGGCTGCCGGAGCTATGTCGCCTACCACGACGTCGCCGCCCACCAGCGCGCGTGCCCGCACGCGCCCTGCTCCTGCTCGGAGCCGCGCTGCGACTTCCTCGGCTCGCCGCCGATGCTCCTCGCCCACCTCGTCGCCGACCACTCGTGGCCCGTCAGCAAGGTCCCCTACGGCGAGGTCCTCACCATCCACGTGCCGGAGTCGGAGCGGCGCCACCTGGTCGTCGCGGGGGCCGCCGGGGGGGACGACGAGCGCGTGTTCGTCCTGTCCGTGGGCGCGCTCGGCGTGGCGAGGGCCGTCTCGGTGGCGTGCGTCAGGGCGAACGCCGCGGCGGGGCCGCGCTACCGCTGCAAGCTCTGGGCGCACGCCCCGGGCGGCGGCGCCGCGGACTTCGTCCACATGGACTCGGCGGTGGCGAGCAGCGCCGCCGCGCCCGGTGGCGAGGTCGCCGTCGACGAGGAGGCCAGGTTCCTGACGGTGCCGCCGTGCTTCCTCCACCTGCTCGACGCCGGAACGTCCAAGGAGATGCTCATCAGGCTCAGCATCAGCATTGACATTGACATTGACATGTCCTGATCGATCGACATGAAACATGATGGTCTACTAGTAATGTCCTAAATTCGTGATTAGTGCTCTGATGCCGTTCAAGTTTAGGTGCTAGTTTCAAGTTCTAACCAGCCATAAGCTTTGCTATTTGGAAGTTTGAACTCTGATGTTCTAAATTATAATTTTCGTAAGGAAAACTCGAGTTAAAAATTCGAACTTGTACTTTCCTTCAACCTCGTTTTTAATCTTCAATGGATAGAAGTAGATGCCAAAAAGATCCTAATTGAAGCAAACTATCTTTACCCCAAACCAAAACCAAACACTGCCGGCCTCCGTCCCAAGAAAAACCCAACCTTTACTAGGATGGAACTAGGGGTGAAAACGGTACGGAAATTTCCGAGAATTCCGGCTACCGTTTCCGGTTTGCACCGACCGTTTCAATCGGTATCGGTAATTGTCGGTATCGGAAATGGAAACGGTAATCTCTTTCGGAAATGGTAGCGGAAATGATATGGGGTTTTTTCCGACCGTTTTGTCGGTAACCGTTTTTTATCGGTAATTTCCGTCAAATTTCCGACAAAATTCCGAAGAAGGAAGTCGGCTGGGCCTGGCTAGCAGGAGGAGCAAAATTCCGAAGAAGGAAGTCGGCTGGGCTTGGCTAGCAGGAGGAGGAGCCCATTAGGCATTAAGGAGCAGCCCATTCCGAATAAAGAAGCCAACTAGGCCTGACCGCATCGTCGTCTTCATCGGCGCTGGGGCACCGCCGCGCCATGTTGGGCGCCGCCACCAGGTCGCCGACGCCGGCCGCAACCTCCTTCGCCCCGACGGCCTCCGTCGCAGCCGGCCACCTTCCCTCCCCCATGCTCCACCGCCGGCTTCCGTGCCACCGAGCCAAGCGCCGAGCGCCGCCGCACCGCCCCAGCCTCCTCCTCCCCACCGATGCCGCCCCTTTCTCCTCTCTCCTTCCCCCACCGCCGCCCTGCGCCAGGCCGCCATCTCCGGCGCCTCTCTCCTCTCGGGCGCGCGTGAAGGAGCCAAAGGCAGAGAAGAGAACGAGAGAGAAAACAGAGAAGAAATCGAGAGAGCAGGAAAAGGAACCGAGAGAAGGGAAGGATAAGAGAGAGAGAGAAAAAATAAAAGAAAGAGAGGAAAAGAAAGACTGTGGGATCCACTGGCGGGCCCCACCATCTTGACTCCTCTCTGTGATCGACCTGGAAATACCAAAAAGTCTAGTTTAGCATGAAACTTAATTACAACAGTAGTTATACAATGTCAACATAAAAGTTCTTATGCAATGTGCCACTGTAGGACGACGATATAGCTATGTCAATTGATGATGAAATAATGAATGATGTTTGACAAGGAGCTGATCAGCTGAAGCCATGCCAGCTTGTGAGCTTGGTGTTCTCGAAGACTTCAAATCTATATCCTAAAAAAAGTCGGACAATATTAGTTATGCTGTAATCCTATCATGTAAGCCACATTGTATGCTTTAGCCACATTGATGTTGAAGTATCATTGAACTTTATTTATATTATTTATCAATCTTATTGTCAACTTATTAATCATCATATAACGGTATTGTGTGGCAGCGTAATGATGCAAGGGTGAAATTATAAGGTCATCTTCATACATAGTTAAATGCGGGATGATACCACAGTTCGCTGTTTCCGACATGAATTTTCGACTTCCGTCCGATATCGGTATATTCCCGTTCCGACGGTTCCGTTTCCGAGATACCGATATAACCGATATCGTTACCGTTTCCGAGTATACCGTTCCGATTCCATTTTCGAGAAAATAAAATGAAAATGGAAATGGTAGAGGGTTTTTCCGACCGTTTCCGACCGTTTTCATCCCTAGATGGAACGCAACCTAATATAACAACGAATCTAGACGTAGAGTATATCTAGATTCGTTGTACTAGGATGTGTCATGTTATAAAACCACCTCCGAAATCGACATAGGTAGCTAAACGCGAAAAAACGCCATAGAACATCCAAACATGAAGACGATACCGAGGCACGATATTTGATAACAGAGTTTAGCCGAGGCCTACATCTTCGGAGCACTGATTACGGGCGCTACTCCCCGATCCAGCATATTACAGCGTATCAGAGTTACAACGACTCACGGTCGGACGCCGTCGGCAACCGCTTCCTCTCGCTATGCTAAGTCGTTATGCGGTCACAACAGTCACGCCCCACTATTTATGAGAGAGACTAGGATAGAGTCCGACTCTTACTCTAGTTCTATACCTAGTACAACTCCAAGTCCTAAATTATAACCGACTTTGTACACATATACAAACTCTAACATGTTCCAACCTAGTGTAAGGTTGGGTCTTCTTGTTTTTTTTTTTTTGAACGGAAGGAGTGCGACGATTTTCATTTTTTGTGGGGGCTAATGGAAGCATAATATCATGTACCCATATTACATGAGGTAATTGGAGGTTTTGAATTCACCTCAAGCAGATTATTCAAACAGATGTGGCTGATTGTTTTGTTTACTGAAAATCAGACATGCTTGAATAATGCCAAAAAAAAAAAACTCCAATCACAAAAAATACTCCTCTCTTCACACAAGCATATGTGCGCATTCAATGGGATAGATGGACTTTGTGAGATGCTGCTACGTTTGATTTTGATTAGCAGGGACTTGTCCTTGGGTAGATGATTGAACAACAATAGAGAATAAGGGAAAGGGTTTAGGGATGTGACCGGTTGACGCGTTGGATGAAGAGGAAGTCCCAGCCATCGTCGTTGTCGTCGCTCTGCTTGACGTGGGCGGCGGCGGCGATGGCGGTCGTGACGGCGACGGTGCTGCGCGGCAGTGGTGGTCGTAGGGGATCCCGGCGAGGTCGTGGCGCGGCGGTGGAGTCTTCCCGTCACTGGCTGCGCCCCCTCGATCGGTTAGGGTTTATGGGGTGGAGTGGCGGCGGCGGCGACGAACCTCGTTCCTTGTGTCGTTATGCCGTCCCGTCCTCCACCCCTCTTTATATGGCACAGTGTGACGGGGGCCCACCAGCCATTGGGCTGGGCGCCCCCGATCAGGGCGCGGGTCAAGGCCCCCTTGAGCCGTTGGGCTCAAGGGGAGGGAGATCCATCTAACATTCTCCCCCTTGATCTCACTATTTCCTTTAGCTTTTTCTATTCCATCACAGATTTACATATAGAGCATGTTTCATCGTCACGGTTAATTACCGATGGATTCGACAGCCACTATACACATCTCTATTCAGAAACAGATACTTTAACTTTTGGGCCCTATAGTCCAGGATTCATAAGGCTTCCCTTAAAACCCATGCATGCTACATGTTCCTTGAACATGTTGGGAGGTAGGCCTTTCATGAGCGGATCCGCGAGCATCCTTTCTGTTCTTATGTGCTCGAGACTGATTGTTTGATCCCGGACTTTGTCTTTCACAACATAGTACTTTATGTCAATGTGTTTGGCAGCACCACTTGACTAATTGTTGTGAGAGTACATTACTGTGGATTCTTTATCGCAGTATAACTTTAGTGGTTTCTCAATACTATCAACCACCTTTAAAACCGGGTATGAACTTCATTAGCCAGTTCACCTGCCCCGTAGCCTCATGGCATGCTATAAACTCGGCATACATGGTAGACCCTGCAGTGGTAGTCTGTTTTGAGCTTTTCCATGAAATAGCTCCTGCTGCCAGGGTAAACATGTATCCCGATGTTAACTTTGTATTATCTTTTGCAAAGTCAGAATCCGAATACCCCACTATCTGGAGCGATTCTGCTTTTCTGTAAGACATCATGAGGCCTTTTGTTCCTTGCAAACACGCAAGACTTTCTTTACCAATTTCCAGTGCACTGGGCCTGGATTACTTTGAAATCTGCCAAATAACCCGGTAACAAATGCCAAGTCAGGTCGTGTGCACACTTGCGCGTACTGTAGGCTTCCTACAGCTGACGCATATGGCTTTGTTTTCATTTTATTGAGCTCATACTGATTTCTGGGACATTGCGATGCCCCATACTTTTCGCCTTTGACTATAGGAGCAGGTGTAGCACTGCATCTGTACATATTGAATTTCTTCAACACCTTTTCTATATATATGCCTTTTGAGAAAATCCCAATGCATACTTTGTTCTATTTCGGTGAATCTCTATGCCCAAAACATATGAAGCCTCACCGAGGTCTTTCATGTCAAAGTTTGAGGACAAGAATTTCTTTATTTCCTGCAGTAGATTGACATCACTACTAGCCAGTAGAACGTCATCTACATACAGAATTAGGAAAATGAGTCTCCCATTCTTAACTTTGAATCAATACAGTTGTCCTCTACATTCTCTTGAAAACCCAAATTTCTTTATTGTTCCATCAAACTTCAAGTAGCATTGTCTCGAAGCTTTGCTTTAACCCATAAATGGATCTCTTTATACGGCATCCCATATTTTCGTTTCCTTTCATGACAAAACCTTTCGGTTGCGCCATGTATACTTTTTCCTCCAAATCTCCATTTAGAAATGCCGTTTTTACATCCATCTGATGTAATTCCAAATCATAATGTGCCACTAGTGCCATTATAATCCTGAAGGAATCTTTACAAGAGACTGGAGAAAATGTCTCATTGTAATCAATCCCTTCTCGTTGCGTGAAGCCTTTTGCCACGAGTCGCACTTTAAACTTTTCTATATTCCCTCTAGAGTCATATTTGGTTTTGTAGACCCATTTACAGCCTACTGTTTTGGCTCATTTAGGAATTTCTTCTAAATCCTAGACATCATTTAATTTCATTGATTTCATTTCATCTTTCATGGCTTCTCATGGCCTCTTCATATGAGATGGGATCATCCTCCATATGCGACTCTTTCAGGCCTTCTAGGGGCCTCCTATTCTGGCACATTATCTGTTTGAGGCTGTTTCATCTCCTCCTCTGATGTGGCAATAATTTCTGTTGAATCCTGTAGAACAGGTTCCTCACTTTCATTCATTGTTGCCACAGGAGAGATAACAACAGGTGTTGGTACCGCAACGGCATGCATTGCTGGCACAACATTAGCAGGTAGAGAGAAGAAAGGTTCCTGAGTCGACGGAGCGGGTACAGACACCCGCCTCTCCTCAAGATCAATTTCTCGAATTACCGAGCTCCCCCTAATCATTTCGTCTTCCAAGAAGACGACGTGTCCCGTTTCTACAAACTTTGTATAACTGTTTGGACAGTAGAAACGATGACCCTTTGATCTTTTAGAATAGCCAATAAAATGGCAGCTTACTGTTTTGGGTTAAATACTTTATCCTTTGCAGGACTCCCCCACACACGGAGGATCCATAGCTCATACGGTGTTTTGGGCACCGATGCATTCTATGCATTGTATGCATTGTTCTAAAACAGAGAACTCCAATGGAGGAAGAACTACATTCTTAACCAGTCTCTCAATTCTCCCCCTCGAAATATGGCATAAACAACAGTGCCATAATTTCGATGAGACATCAGAAGTTCGCTTTCTTTTCTTTTGTCAACGAGGACACAACATTCACATTCTCAGAAAGAAATAAAGCTGATCTTGCAACACAAGACCAATACATTCATTATTATACCATAGTTCACATTTGCCATTTCCAAAATGGCAATCATATCTATCAAAATCCAATTTGGATACACTTATTATCAAGTTTCTTTGCAAAGAAGGAACATAAAAACGTCTGGAAGTAAAAGTGTGAAGCCATTCGCGAGTTCTAGGCGAAGATCTCCAGCCTCAACTTTTGCTTCAACTCCATTGGCAACTCTAATGGATCTTTCACTTCTTTGCATAGTCCTCATTGAACGGAATCCCTTTAAACAATTACACACATGAATAGTTGCTCCAGAATCAATCCACCATGTGGATCTAGAATAACCAATCATAATGAGATTCTTTACAAATGTAATAATGTTCTCACCTTTCTTTGCCATGATCACTGTCAGGAAGTCAGGATGATCTTTCTTGGAATGTCTTTTCTTGCAATGTAGACACTGATCTTGTCTCAACTGTAAACTGTTGCTTCTGAGGCAGATGCTGAGGCTGTTTTTCTTTTGAGGAGGGTGACCTGTGGCTCTTTTCCTTGTTATCTTTGACAAGGTTAATGGAGTCACCATTGGTCTCTTTGTGTCTTTCCTCCTCTTGCACACAATTAGAGATGAGCTCTTCAATATTCCAATTCTCTGTACTTATTTTGTAGTTGACAACAAGGTTGTCAAAGTTCTTTGGCAATGAGGACAAAACCAGATGGACCAGAAAGTCATCTGAGATGCCCAAATCTTTTTGCTTCAATTTGGAAGCCATATTGCTCATCCTAAGAATGTGGTCTTTTACACCACCTCCATGGTACCTCTCTGTAACAAGCTGCTTTATCAGCTGTGTCGCATAAAACTTTGAAGAACCACTAAACTGGCTCTTTATACTTTCGAGGTACTTAGAGACAGTGTCATACTCTGGGATTGAGCCCAATATGGTTGGCTCAATCGTGTTCTTTACCGCAGCCAAACAATTCTTGTTGGCTGAAGACCATTTCGCATGCTCAATGTCATACGACATGATGAGGGAAGCATTGTCCCTCTCTCTCTTTTGCCATTCAGCATCTGACTCTTTTTCACCTCTGAAAATTTCAGCAGGTTCTATAGGACATGGGGTAGTCAACACCCAGTCCACCTCTCCCAAGATAAAAGCAAGGTCGAGTTCTCTTTTCCATTCTTCGTAGTTATCTCCTTTCAGGGTCGGAATATCTTTAATGTAACCCATCAAGGAGTAGCCACCTAAGATAATCATGTATTGTGAGAACAAAATTAACATTAAAATTATTATGTATTAAGTCTACATCACCGTTGGGCAGAAAATAGACATAACACATAAAGCCATAACTATAACATTGCAATTATCAACGTTGGTCAGAAAAATTACAACATCATAGCACATAATTAATGTTCCTAAAATTAAAATCTCCCGTTGGTTCGAAATTTAATTTTAGAAACACTAATTTTCATCAATTTCATCTATTTGCAGCGGAAGATCTATATACAATTCATATAAATTGTAACAAAACTCTGTTGTTTACGCTCTGTAAAATTCTCCCGTTGGTTCAAATTTAAACAGAGATAATACATGTAAAACAATTCAAAATTCTATTGTAATTTGCATGAAAAATACAAAATACATGTTCAGAAGCATTTCTCACATTTATCTATTCTCTAAACAATTTTCACGTTGGTTCAAATTGCTTAGAAATAAACACAATCATTAAACATATTGAAAATGCTTCCTTCGGCCGAGGGACTTTTATTAAACTTCCTTTCTTTTGATTCGGCCCCGAGGGACCTAAAATGAACTTTTTCGGCCTTTGCCAGTCGGCCCACGGCCGCCTTGCGCGCGGGCGGGCGCCCCCTCCCCTTTCCCCAGGCCGCAACCTGGGCCTGGGCCGGGAAAGTGGCTCGCCGTGCGCTCCCACATGGGCCGATTTCGGTCCGGCCGCCGTCGGCCGTCCGATCGCTAGGGTTTCGATCGGACGGTCGCGCGGGCGGATCGGGCAAACAAAACCGCCCCCGGCCGCCGGCGCCGAAACCCTAGCTCCTCTTCTCTTCTTTCTCTTGCGGTTGCACGGAGCGGCGTCGCCGTCGCCGAAACCCTAGCACAGCGCCGGCGGCGGCATGGCGACACGGCGGCGCCGTCGCACTCCCCTTCGCCGATGCGCGCACTCACTCAAGGGTGAGTGCGCCGCCGTCGAGCGGTTGTGCCGCGGCGCCCTCTCCTTTCTCTTGCGGGCGTGCGCCGTGCCGAGCGGCGTCGCCGACGCCGGCAGCCTTCGCGCCGCCGCGCCATGGCCGACGCCCTCGCGCCGCCACGCCCTCTATTCTTTTCTCTTCTCCCCCCCACCGTCTCACCCCTCCACGCGAGTGAAGAGTGAGAGACCGGCGACGACGGAGATGGTGGCGCCGCCGCGGGCCCCCTCGCCGGCGCGCGCGTGCACCCGCGGGTGCGCACGCGGCTGTCGAGTGGCTCCTCGGCGGTGCCTCTTTGCCCCTCTCCCCCTCCGTGGCCGGCGTCAACGACGGCCGGCGACGAGGTAAGATTAGGGTTAGGGTTTCGATCTTTTCGATCCGTTGGATCGTTTGCTTTTCTTTGCCTTTCTTTTGGATTTCTTTCCCCAACCAATCTAAACTCTAGGGTGGCTTTGATACCATTGTTAGGGTTGTCTATTGGATCACCTAGGTTTAGATCTAGTCGGGTGGTTCTATTTGCGATGGATGATTGAACAACAATAGAGAATAAGGGAAAGGGTTTAGGGATGTGACCGGTTGACGCGTTGGATGAAGAGGAAGTCCCAGCCATCGTCGTTGTCGTCGCTCTGCTTGACGTGGGCGGCGGCGGCGATGGCGGTCGTGACGGCGACGGTGCTGCGCGGCAGTGGTGGTCGTAGGGGATCCCGGCGAGGTCGTGGCGCGGCCGGTCCCGTCCCGTCACTGGCTGCGCCCCCTCGATCGGTTAGGGTTTATGGGGTGGAGTGGCGGCGGCGGCGACGAACCTCGTTCCTTGTGTCGTTATGCCGTCCCGTCTTCCACCCCTCTTTATATGGCACAGTGTGACGGGGGCCCACCAGCCATTGGGCTGGGCGCCCCCGATCAGGGCGCGGGTCAAGGCCCCCTTGAGCCGTTGGGCTCAAGGGGAGGGAGATCCATCTAACAGTTCTTTCTTTTTTTTTCATACTCCCTCCGTCCAAAAAGAAAACTCAATTCTAGATTTGAATCTGACACACAATTGAGTTTTTTTGGTACTGAGAGGGTAGAGCTCTTTCTACTTGTTCTTCACCCTACTAGTACACGGCAACACAACACTGCGTGGTTTGGCAGATTGACAAGGGACCAGCCATGCCATTGCTCTGAGAGTTTGACAAACATCAAAAAAAAGATAGAGAAATCAATCTTCAGCATTGCAAAGAAAACGGAAGCCTTCTCGATGGAGAACGATGATCGCCGCGGCGGCGGTGACCGGCCGGCCGGGGAAACAAGAAGCAGGCGCGATGGTTGTGGCACCGGAGCCGGAGGCCATCGCCGTGAGGATCGACATGGCCATGCTTCACTGCCCCATCTGCTTTCTCCCCTTGAAGCCTCCAATCTTCCAGGTTCCTTGCTTGTTGCTGCAATGTCTGATGCTTCATCCATTTCTTGTTTCATGGTTGCATTCATATGAATCGTTTCTTTCTTTGTCCATCGATTTATGCAGTGCGATGCTGGGCACATGGCTTGCAGCAACTGCCGCGGCAAGGTCGCCGGCGGCCGGTGCCACTCGTGCGAAGGCGTCGGCGTCGGCGTCGTCTACGCCCGCTCTCGCGCCATGGAGGCCTTCGTCTCGTCGACCAAGATCCAGTGCCCCTACCAGGCGCACGGCTGCCGGAGCTACGTCACCTACTACGCCGTCGACGACCACCAGCGCGCGTGCCCGCACGCGCCGTGCTCATGCCCGGAGCCCGGCTGCGGCTTCGCCGGCTCTCCTGGAACACCTCGCCGCGGCGCATTCCTGCCACGTGGACAAGGTCGAGTACGGCAAGGCCCTGTGTCTCCGCGTGCCGGCGTCTGAGCGGCGGCGGCGCCTGCTCGTCGGGGAGGAGGACAAGCGCGTGTTCCTCCTCGCCATGGCCGCGGTCGGCGCGGCCAGCGCGGTGACGTTGGTGCGCGTCGCGGCGAGCGCGGAGACGGCGGCGCGGTACAGGTGCAAGATGTGGGCGAACGCGCCGGCGGCGGCGGCGGCGGCGGTGGCGGGCGCGGCGAGCGGCAAGGCGGACATGGTCATGGTGGACATGGAGGTGGCGAGCAGCGGCGTGGCGCCCGGCGGCGTCGCCGTGGAGGAGGCGACGTTCTTGGCCGTGCCACCCAAGATGCTGCACGGGGAGCACAAGGAGATCATTCTTGGCATTTGCATTGACAAGAAGACCTCCTGAGTCCGGATCAACCTGACACTTGGCCATTAGCAGTAGCAAACTAGCAATAATGCCAAATTTTAGTTTAGTACTAATGATAGTAGGTTATGATAAGAACTATTCCCTAGGGTTTTAACAACAGTAATGTGGAGTACATGGATGAAAACAATCTCGGAAATGAGTACTGCTACACGTACAACCCAATTGTACAACTCGTGTATAACCGTATAACTAGAGACATGTAGCCATATATCAATCAAAACATATACTTTCTCCGTCACTTAAAAAACAATCTAGTACTGGATGTGACATATCATAATACAACGAATCTGGATGTCAATCATAGATTTGATTTTTTGGGACAGCAGGAGTATGTTCATATGCATTGCAGCTGTTTATAACCGTTTATCAAATTCAAACGTACGTGAGTCTGATAATTGGATCAAATGCATAGAAATTACTTACGGACTGACTCGCCTTTCTGAAGTTGCATCGACCGAACCATCCGGTATAGGTAATTTGTTGAAAACAGTAGAATTACTTCTTTTGATGTGTTTCCCTTGAATAGTTCCGTTTCTGATTTTCCATTATTATCGATGTCATTTTCATTTCTAGCTCTACCGTTTCAAATATTACTTTACTTAAACACTGTGGGAATGCTGAAGATTTAGCGCGCCACATCATCGGTTCTTTTGGAAAAAAAAAAACCCCACAATTCCTATTAATTGTGTCTCGGTTCCTGCCGCTATCATCCGTTCGATCACACGCTAGGGACGATCTAACCGTCCACGTGTCCCATCGTGGCTGCTCATCTACCATCGTGAGATCGTTGGATCAGGAACGGACGGCCATCGATTGTTACGTGCCGGAGATTAAATCGACATCTACTTTAGAGTCGAACTCTACCGTTTAAAAAACTATTTGTTGCCCACGAGAGAGGAATGGACCATGTAGATATCATTAGAAGCTCACGCAAGGGAGGATGAACGGTAGTGATTGAATAGATATTTATTTATGTGGGTCCCACCGATCGACTTTACCACTACAACTATCGAATCTTTGATTCGTTCGTCTCCCGTGGCAGGCATGAGTCGAACGACGCTGTGGATGCCCTTAGAGCAAGTTTAATAGAATAACTAACTACTAGCTCCAATTTATTTATAGCCAATCTAACCGTTCATTCATACAATAGTTACATACTACACTATTAATACATGGTCCCACCTGTCATACACACACTGCGTCTTGGAGTCCGTGCTACAGCTGGCTATAAATCTGTAGCCCGCTGCTCTTCTCTCTCCTTATTTATCTCCTTAAAATATGTTTGTAGCTCGCTTACAGCCTGCTATTGTACTTGCTCTTAGCAAACCTCTACCCTCTAGCCCTGCCGGGATTAATGGCGGATCGGGGACTCACTGGAGGTGGTGGAGCGGGAGCTTCTTCTTGCACGACTCCAGGATGTCCCACAGGTTCTTCACCCCTATCTCCCGCCCGCACTTCCGCCCGACCGGACCTCACCGGACTTGGAGGAGATGACGGACCTCAGTGGCGGCAGCGGCAACTCCGGCTTGTACAACAGCCTCGAACCCCAGCAAAAGCCCGGCGCCGGCAAGCCGACATCCTCGAACCAGCCCTCGCCCGCACGCCGCCGTCGCCACTCCAGCCCCCGGCTGCCGCCGCCACCGATGCTTCCGAAGGGGGAAGAGAAAAGGGAGAGAGAAAAGAGAGAGAAGGGAGAGGGAGGGAGGGAGGGGGAAGAAGTGAAGGAGAAAGGATGACATGTGGGCCCCACATGTCGGTGGGTCCCACAATATATTTTGTGTGTGAATGACAGATGGGTCCACATAATTTTTTTTAATTCTAATGCCACATAAGCGTTATGTGGAATGAAAACCGGGTTAGCACCGCCACGTCAGCGTCACGTCTGCAAAACCGTCCTCCAAAACCGCTGGAGGAGTCAAATTGGGTAGTTTCAATAATTCGGGGAGTCGTCCTATCTGGTTTTCCCGTCAAGGGTTACGATTTAGATTCGGTGAACAATTAAGGGAGTCTAAGTAGACTTTTTCCTTGCTCTGAGAGGCAACAGGGAGGGTTAATGGGCTGAGGCCCAATTCGCGTTTTCTGCTAATATATATATATATATATATATATATTCATCGGTCCTGGTGGAGGCTTTAGGTTTTTGCCCCTTCTCTTCCTCTCTGCGGCGGCGCCTAGATCCATCCACCACCAATGCCAACCAGGGGAGGACGCGGTGGCAGGGGAGGACGCGGCGGGAGGGGAGGCCAGCCGGGTGAGCTCGGCCAACCGGGAGAGCCGGGCCAGGGCGGCGGGAGGGGAGGACGCGGCGGGAGGGGAGGCCAGCCGGGCGAGCTCGGCCAACCGGGCGAGCCGGGCCAGGGCGGCGGCAGGGGAGGACACGGTGGGACGGGAGGACAGCCGGGCGAGCCCGGCCAACCGGGCCAGGGCGGCGGCCCCGGCGGCCGCGGCGGATCCGCGTTCGGCCCTCACGGCGGCGACGGCGGCACTGGCGGCACCGGCGGCTTTCTCGGCATTGGAGGCCGCGGCGGTCGCGGCGGCGACGGCGGCCTAGGAGGCAACGGAGGCCGCGGCGGCGACGGAGGTCAAGGTGGACCTGGCCAACGGGGCGGGGACGGCGGGCGGGGCGGGGACGGCGGGGACGGCGGGCCGAGCGGTTCCCCGTTGCGAAGAGCGCCCTCGTCGCGTAAACGGCGTGGTGGGCCGAGCGGAGCCTATCTGCATAGGCAGGAGGAGGAGCAGCTTGATCAGATATGAGCGAAGATCTATCTTATCTTTATCTGTTGGTACTTGGTGTTGACACGTAAAATTGATTCACGCAACAACAATGATAACCGTCGTGCTTTCGTGACGACGAACGACTAGTTTTCAAGCAAAGTAGCAAAGATCTTCACTTTCGTGGAAGAACCCGACTGATTTTCAGCGCAAACCAGTAAAGATCAACCGCACCCTAGATAACCAGGATTTGGCCAAAGAAACAAGAGCAAAAGTACGATGAAAACGGTAGAAGAAAATAATATATGATGATAATTGTTTTCGAGCCCTACCAAGTGCAAAATCCATAGTATATAGTAAAGGAATACGCTGTACTGCATATATAGAAAACTCTAGGTAAATCCGTGATTAATTCTATGTAATGAAAACCGTCCTTTTTTAACGACAGCTTCCATGTAGACGTATACAAGCCTCAGCCGAAAGTCGCCTCCATCCTGCAACGCTGCTCCAGCCCAACTTTCAGAATTTGTCTCCCCTTGCTCTGGCAACAATGTGATCCTGTGTGGCTAGACTTCAACAGGCATATCATCAAACATAGCCATGCATCCAACCCCAGCCACATAAAATCAACCAGTGAAGCCTCACATCCATTGAATCGGCAAAAGCTCCATCGCTGCATGCTAAGCTGCTTGAACTGACAAAATCTGAGAATTGCAGCCTCCCAAGTCCCAACCTTCTTCTCTAGTTTCTGCAGCTCCCCAGCAACTCGTACACCTCCCGGTGCATCACAAATTCCTGCCCTAGTCAAGCTAACCAATTCTTAAGCAAACCACTAAAACAATTACACCAACTATTCTATATAATTTGGCCTGTCTAAAATGACCTAACCAAAAGCCAAATTATGCTACTAACACTTGGGTGTGATCTAGTCGCTGTAGTAGAACTGTCTGTTGCAGTCCATCTATCTATCTTTGAATATAGCTAGTAGAAGAGTCGATGTCGCTGTAGTGTTTTATGTGGTCAAGAGTTTTATGCCATGGTTTACTTTTCTGAAAGCATCATCTTGAAATTAAGTAGAAATTATGTTGGACGAACACATCTGATCTGACAAACAAGTTCAGGGGTTTAACTTGGTGATCGCTTGCGCCTAAGCTGCTACTGCTGCGCGCGCGCGCGCAAATTAAAGTGAGATGGCCAGCCCTAGGCTGGCTGATGGTGACCCCGGAACAAGATCGTCGGACAAAAATGAGGTCGCAGCAGAGGATGGTCGCCGCCACAGATTGGTGCATGCGAGACCATTAGGCATCACAATTCACAGAAATAATCACATTCACAGTCATTTCGATACAAAACTGAATCACAAAAATTCTCGCAATCACATTCATCTGGCCAAAGAACAAAATCACTTCACATTCACAATCATTTGGGCACAAAACAAAATCACAAAAATCATCACAATCATATTCATCTAGGCACAAAATAGAAAGGATAACTCCATCTGGCGGCGGTGCGGTGGCGGAGGAGGCGGCCGGCGGTCAGTAGGGAGGCGTGGACGGATCCGACGGTGCGGTGGCGGAGGAGGAAGCGGCCGACGGTCGGGGGAGAGGCCGCGATGGCCGGATCCATGGCCCCCAAACTTGTCGAGGCTGGATCCGGCGGTTGACAGTGCGGTGGAGGAGGAGGAAGCGGCCGACGGTCGGGCGAGAGGCCGCGGTGGCCGGATCCGCGCCCCCAAACTTGTCGAGGCCGGATCCGGTGGCTGGCGGTGCAGTGGCGGAGGAGGAAACGGCCGGCGATCGGGAAGGAGGTCGCGGTGGCCGGATCCGCGGTTAGCGGTGTAGTGGCGGAGGAGGAAGCGGCCGACGGACGGGGGAGAGGCCGCGGTGGCCGGATCCGCGCCTTGTAGGCCAGATCCAGTGGCCGGCGGTCGGGAGGTGGGGAGGCGGCGGCGGCGGCGGCCGACGGTCGGGAGGCGAGGAGGCGTCAGCGACCAGCTCTCGAGGGGGGGCCACGGCCCGATCTATGAGGGAGAGAGTGAGGAGGGAGAGAAGGAAGATGAGTGGGAGGGAGTGAGTAAAGGAGAGAAAGAAGATGAGAAGGGAAGATGAGGAGGGAAGGGGAATCCAAGGGGAGGAGTAGGGTCGCAGGGGTGGGGTGGGGCATTTTTTTTGTAAGCCATCTCTGACGGCTATAATTTTTTTAACTCGTTTGAGATGAGATATCAAATCTTTGACGGGTTGCAAATTTAACACCCCTCACAGGTGAGGTCAAACTAGTAATGGGCTGGAGAGCAACCCCGTCACTACCTCACCTGCGACGGCTTAAAATTCTGGCCCATCACAT